GGGAGAGAAGATGGTGTTGAGCCAGAAGGAGCTTATGAACAAGGTTGTCGATCTTATTTAGAAGAACTCTTATCATATAAGGAGATTGAAGAATTTAACATGAAAAATCGTTTAGATAAAGATCAAATTATAAATATCCCCAAATTGATAAATTTTGGTATCATAAACCTAGATGAAGCATATGAATCATACCATGAATATGATTTAGAAATTCCAGATCATGCATTTTATATATTAATGGAAAAATTACCAATAGATCTAAATCATATTAATCCATCTGATACTCATTTTGAATCTTTAGAACAACAACTTTATAATCTCAATTATGTTATTAAGAGATCACATAATGATATTAGACCTCAAAATATCATCGTCTCTAGAGATAGAGCATATTTGATTGATTTTAGTGAGTCATCTGAATGTAATTATGAGCCAATATATAACGTTCCAAGAACTAGACGTAAAAGATTTGAAATAAGGGTTCCATTTGATTTGGCTAGGCTCAAAAGGTATCAAAATGACTTGAAGGAAAATTAATATAGCTACAAAGCTTATATTTTTAGACAAATGATGTTAGGTTAAAGAGAGCACTTCATATATGAGCTATATTATCAATAAATGATTTATTATGATATAGCAGTAGAATTAGTAAAGTTGATGTTAATATAGGATCAATATTTATGTATATAGATTACAAATTTCTTACGTCAGGAATACTGGGCGTGGCCCTAAAACATGGATATTTTAGAAATCGTGGCCGTAAAAAATGTATTTTTTGATGCTTACGCAATCTTTGGCGTGGTGATTAGTCATCATGATTGATAAATTTATTAATAACTCATATTCAAAACGTTTACTTAGATGTATAAATAAAATAAAAATGAATAATAAATTTTGAAGTATATTCTGGTGCTAATCATTCATAACCATCTATATTTTGATGTTTTACTGTTTTGGAGACTTCTTAGGAATGCGATTTGGGAATGCGATTTTGTGTTCCAGGAATGCGAATATTATGTAACTGGGAGGTAATCAGAATTAAGAATATCGATGGAGTTATCGTTTAAATTACTGAATTTGATACTTTAAATACACAGTTATCTATAAATCAATTTGTGGATCATAAGGAACATAAATAAACTACAAGTGTCGCTTGCTTCCTTTAAAAGCATGATCAGCCTTATGATATTCGATAAGAACTCTTAAAATGACAATTGAAAAATCTTTAATAATTAATGTCTTTACTGGAGGTGCAGCTGGATCATGGAGAGATCCAAATGATACATCAAGAGAATTTACAAGAAGTTTAGATCAATGGATTAAATTAGCTAAGACAGCAGAAAAAGGTAAATTACATTCATTATTCATTGCTGATCATTTAAGTTTCTTTGATACTTATAAAGGACCAGGAAATTATGAATTACCTGCAAAACTTGGTAAATATTCACCAAGAGTTGATCCATCAATTCCCATCACTGCAATGGCCCAAGCTACGGAAGGATTAGGTTTTGGTATAAGTTTTAGTACTGTTGTGGAACATCCATATCATTTTGCAAGAAGATTAGCTTCTCTGGATTTATTAACAAATGGTAGAATTGGTTGGAATATTGTTTCAAGTTATTTAGAAAGTATAGGCCCAAATTTATTAAATGGTGAACCTTTCCCACAACATGATGAAAGATATGTTAAGACTGAAGAATTTGTTGATGTTGTTTTGAAATTGCTATTATCATCGTGGAGAGATGATGCAGTTAAATATGATATAGAACAAGGTATATTTGCAGATCCAAATTTACTTAGAAAGATCAATCATAAGGGGAAATATTTCAGTGTTGAAGGACCTGGTATCACAGAACCAACTCCACAAAGATTTCCTTTGATTATTCAAGCGGGTACTTCAACTAAAGGGAAACAATTGGCTGCTAGGTATGCTGAGTTAGTATTTGTTGATGGTAGATATGGCGAAGCCCTAAAGAATGATATTAAAGATATCAGAGCATTAGCAGAGTCATATGGTAGAGATCCAAAATCTATTAAATTCGTTGTTGGAGCAAGTCCAATTGTTGGTAAGACTCATGAAGAAGCTTTGGGAAAAGTTGAAAGATCAAAACAATTTAGTTTACCAGAATCTGCAGAAGTTGGTTTAAGTGCAGTTTCAGGAATTGATATTAGTAAATTTGAAGACGATGAAGAAATTGATGTTGGTAAATTAGCAAATGGATTAACTACATTAACAACAAATATTAGTAAAAAAATAAAGACACATAAACCAACAAAAAGACAATTGTTAGAAAATTATACCTTGGGTAATAGTAGTTTTATTGGAACTCCATCAGAAATTGCAGATGAATTTGAAAAATGGGTTGAAGAATTTGATATTGATGGGTTTAATTTTTGGCCAACTTCATTCCCTGATGATTTAGAATCAGTTGTTGACTTGTTAATACCAGAATTACAAACTAGAGGAATTTTCCATAAAGATTATACATCAACTACTTTAAGAGAAAATGTAAACCAAACGAAGGGCCAAACATTTGTAGGTAATGACCATCCAGCTTATAAATTTAGATGGCAAGCTGATAAGACAAAAGAAGAATTTGAAGCTAGTCTTTGAGTAATATAGATAATGTGTATAGATCACTAAACAAAAAAAACAAGTATTTATTATATACAAGTAATATTAATTAATATAAGTAGAGTGCCAAAAAAATTCTAGGTAGAGCCTAGGCAGAGCCTAGGCAGAGCTCTGCCTAGCATGGGGTAGTTAGGAAGGGAGAGCTAGGTGGAGATAAGTGCAGTGCCAAAAAAAAAAGTTCTGTTCAAAATTTTTTTGGCACTCTACTTATTCCAAATGGCATACATTTCTAAAAGTGAATTTTTAAAACATGGATGGCTATTTATGAGTAGTATCGTTGAAGTATTTGGGGTTTATTATGTATACTATAAAAGCATTAATTAATGTTGTGTGCTGGACTATGTTCTTGATATTTGTCGGGTTTGAGATATAGGGGTATTAATTGGTGATTTTGATAAGGATATAAGAAAGATTCGGAGAGACCACAGACCACAGACCACAGTACTATAGCTACTTATCTACAATAGAGCTAGTTGATAAACCTGACAATGGATAAAATAAAAGTGGCAACCAGGAATAAACTGGTGTAAGTTTAGCTTATTGCGGTACGAAAAATTCAGATCTATTCAATTTGTGCAATATCAGGTTCAACTTTTATATTAAAATAGGTCAAGCTCAATTCAACATCCAGACTCCTATGAAAATTGGACATACCCAAACAATATCAATTTATATGAAACTTTAAAACAATATTAACGTTTCAATTTCAAGGGTTTATAGTTCAACATTGTATCCATTATATATAGTATATACCAACAATTCAAACATTCTAAAAGGTGAATCATAGCTGTAAATACTTTGTGCTAGTAACCGTGGCTCTATGATAACAAATTGATATTCGATAACATAAGATTTAAGGTACCAAATACAGTAACTACACTGGTAAAATAAGCAAAAATTTCTACAGATGATTCATAAACAATTCTTTTAATATTGCTAAATTCTAATCCATATAAAGTTTTTGAACCGATAAATATTTGTATAGTTTGCAACTGAACCAACAAATACTAATTAATGTCCCATGATTGGAAGATGACAAACCTAAAGTACTAAGACTTTGGATTGCGGGATCCACCAAAATACAAGTACACCAACAGCTTCAGACTCATACAAGCCCCAAACCCTGAGAATTCACCAGTTGAACCTGTGGAGATTTAGCATTTATCAGTATGATCATTACACTGTGGAATCTGGATCTTGAATATCCGAAGATGGTAATGAACTGATGATTTTATGACTCTTTAGTTTAACAATGATCAGAACTTTGGAGATATTAAATTGTATAAAAAGATATATGAATAATTGTATTGAATCATGATGAGTTTGAAAAAGTGTTATATTCCATATGATATACTTTAATCTATGCCAAAGATCATACCATAATGACAATTAATCAAGTCGATCATATAATTAAATTCCGTGACAGCGTACCAATTCTTCAACAAAATCAAGATTTAGTGTTTCTGAATTCTTCATTGACTCCACCATTAAATACAATAGTTTCAGATTCTTTAACAAACTATATCAACAAAGGTTTATATCAAATACATCCAAAAGCAGAATTTGTTAATGATTGTGAAGAAACAAGGAAAGAATTAGGTAGGTTTTTAAACACTCAAAGTGAAAACATTGCATTTACAAGAGATGCATCTGAAGGTTTAAATTTATTTCAAAGATCTACAAAATGGGAAAGGGGGGATAATGTTGTTATTATTGATGGTGAACATCCAAGTCTAGGTTTTGGTTGGTTAGGTTTAGAAAAAGATGGTTTAGAAATTAGAATAATCCAAACTGATGAATCTCAAGTTAAACCTTTCACAGCTGATGATTTTAAACCTTTTATTGATTCAAATACTAAAGCTATTGGTATTTCTTCAGTCATGTTTCATTCTGGTTTAAAAAATGATATTAAATCAATCGTGAAAGAATTTAAACCTAAGGGAATTCATATCTTAGTTGATGCAACTCAAGAAGTTGGGTTTGGTAAAATTGATGTTCAAGATTTAGCTATTTCTGCAATGGCATTTAGTGTTCATAAAGGTCTAAATATTCCAAATGGATTGGGTGTTTTGTATATTGAACCTGAAACTATCCCATTGTTAAAATCAAATCCACCAGTTTTATGCTCAGGTAATATATCAAACTTAGATTCAAGTTTAAAAGTTAATAAAGATTTTAAAGTCTTCCCAAATGCTCAAAGATATGAACATTCAAATAAACCAATGATGCAAATCATTGCATTAGGTTCATATCTAAGATTTTTGAATTCAATTGGTATGGAAAATGTTGAAACTTATTTAACCAATTTAAGCTCATCATTAAGATCAAAATTATCATCAATTGGTTTGAAAGTAATTGGACCAAATGATTCAAAATCAAGATCATCACATAGTAATGTTTTACCATTGATTGATCCTAAATGGATGGATTTTTTCAAATCCAAAAATGTTTATGTTTCTCAATATAGATGTGGTGTTAGAATTTCTTTAGGGATTTATAATAATGAATCTGATGTTGATGAATTTGTTAAGATTGTTAAAGAAGGTTTAGATTCAGGATTGAAAGTTAATAGTGTTTAAGATTGAATCGATATTGATATTGTTTAGTTAATTTGTAGTACTGCTATTCCTACAACAGATCAAGAAAAAATGGTAATAATCATTGAATAAAGTATATATAGGAAGTCTGTAAACTTAATCAAACTCACAACTATTAAACTCTCAATGATTTGATTTGAATATTGTGTTAAAAAGACATGGAAACATATTCCATAGTTCAATTCTTAAACCCCAATATATTGCATAGACTTAACTTCAATCGAGCAAAGCACGGCCAGAGTAGAACGGATGTTTAGCATTGCACGCAACGCTTATACCCTAAGAGCGAACTCTTTCAAAGAAATCATCTGTTATTCACACATAATAAACTCAGTTGTAAAGTCGTTGATAGGAGGATTAAACATGAAAGCAAATAAATTCTAGTAACATAAATGAATGTTTGAAGAATATCGAAATTGAAATTTTTTTGCACTCTACAAAAGTTGGAACGGTTCCAACTCCACGCTTACATGTTTTGAAAAGTGAATATTTAAAATATAGATGGGTAGTTATGAATGGTATTATAATATTGATTGATATTTATAATACATTAATTTATTATTTAATCACTTAGTTTACTATTAGAAGTTCAACTTATCTCTGTTTATTGATGTTTTATTTGCTCACTATTGTTCACCAAAATCCGAATTGCTTTGACAGGTTTTAAAATTTTAACAATTGCTATAAAACAAATTTGCTTTTAACAACACAACTAACTACACGTCTTCGCTTATAATGGGTTATTAATCATTGGTAATTGCTTTATTTGATAATAAGTAAAGTGATTAACGGCAATCATTTCCTAAATTATGCATTTGTTACACTAAATATTGCACTCGTGGTTGGTTATTATAGATCTTGATCAATGGTTATGGATGGATCGGATAGAAATGGTTTCAGTATTATATTGGTATAGTGGTCAATGTTCCAATTGCCATGTTCCCCAGATGGCTTTAATTAACTCTTGACCCCTTTTATTCATGGTTTGATTCACCCCCAGATTATTAAAGAGCAAGTCAAGTTTAGTGGAAAGACGATTTATAGTGTCCATTAAACGCGCGGTATTAATGGTGTTGATTATACTTTGGATAATGGTACGATTTGGAAAGCAATTATCTGTTGGATCTAAAGATTATAGCAAAGGATAATATGGGTTTAGGGGTTGTGGTTAACTATATAAATAATGGTTAAAATCCTTTCAATATCTTTGTTGATTGATTGTTTCAGTTCAATTCAATTCAATTCCAATATCAATCAATCAAAATGTCAGATACAGTTACAATTAAATTCCCAACAGGTGAATCATATAAACAACCAACAGGTATTTTCATAAATAACGAATTTAGACCTGCCCAATCTGGTGAAACTTCCGATGTTATAAATCCATCAACTGAAGAAGTAATTACAAAAGTTTCAAAAGGTAATTCAAAAGATGTTGATGATGCGGTCAATGCTGCAGATGAAGCTTTCCATGAATGGTCTCAAACTGAACCATATCAAAGATCTTTACTTTTATTAAAACTTGCTGATTTAATTGAAAGAGATCAAGATATTATTGCTAAAATTGATTCTTTAAATAATGGTAAAGCTTTAAAATGGGCTAAAACTGATGTTGGTTTATTAATCAGATCCCTAAGATCAACCGCAGGTGCTTATGATAAAATTAATGGTCGTACTATTGATACTTCAAATGATTATTTAACTTATACCAAAAGAGAACCATTAGGTGTTTGTGGTCAAGTTATACCATGGAATTTCCCAATCTTGATGTGGGGTTGGAAAATTGCACCAGCTGTTATTACTGGTAATACTGTTGTCTTGAAACCAGCATCTGCAACTCCATTAAGTGCATTATATACTTCCCAATTGGTTAAAGAAGCTGGTTTCCCACCAGGTGTTATCAACACTTTAATTGGATCTGGTAGAGATGCAGGTGATCATATGTTGAGACATCCAAAAATTAGAAAAACTGCATTTACAGGTTCAACAGAAATTGGTCGTGAAATTTTAATTAGTTCAGGTGAATCAAATTTAAAAAAAATTAGTGTTGAATTAGGTGGGAAATCTCCAAATATTGTTTTTAATGATGTTGAATCTAAGATTGATCAAGTTGTTGATTCTTTAATTTTTGGAATTTTTTATAATAATGGTGAAGTTTGTTGTGCAGGTTCAAGAATCTATGTTCAAAGTGGTATTTATGATAAAATCGTTTCAAAATTAGTTGAAAAGACTAAAAGTTTGAAAATTGGTGATCCATTTGATAAAGATGTTTTCCATGGCTCTCAAGCTATTAAATCACAATTCGATACCGTATTGGACTATATTGAAAAGGGTAAAAAAGAAGGTGCAAAAATCTTAGTTGGTGGTGAAAGAATTGGTAAAAAGGGTTATTTTATTCAACCAACAATTTTTGAAACTGATAATGAAGATTATTCTGTTGTTAAAGAAGAAATTTTTGGTCCAGTTGCAACAATTAGTAAATTCACTACAGTTGATGAAGTTATCCAAAAAGCAAATGATTCAGAATTTGGTTTAGCTTCAGGTTTACATACAAATGATTTAAATGTTGCATTAGAAGTTTCAAATCGTTTACAAGCTGGTACGGTTTGGGTTAATACATTTAATGATTTACAAGAATCTACACCATTTGGTGGTTATAAACAAAGTGGATTTGGTAGAGAAATGGGTACTGAAGTTTTTGATAATTATACTCAAGTTAAATCTGTTCGTATTAAATTTGATCATAAAAATGCTTTAACTGAAGGTAAAGTTTAAACCTTATGAATTAATTAATGATTATATGAAATAAATGATGTTTTATTGATTTAACTTCGGCGTTGTAGTTACATAAATATGGATCTAAGCATTCATTATCCTATATTATTTCAATACAAGTTTCCTATTTATATTAAAATATTTTTTGATACCATCTTCTGTATCATAACTTAAATAATCATCATACCATTTTTGTAATAATTCATCATCATCACCAAGATTTTCTAAAGCTAAATTATAAGTTTTAATTAATTCAGATCTTGAATTATTTGAACGTAATTGAATATCAAGATAAAAAATCCAAAATTTTGAAATTTTATTAAATCTTTCATCATTATTTATTGAATCTAATAATTTGTTATCAATTGTTAAACTTTTAAAGTTTGATAAATGAATTAATAAATGAATACTTAATTCAATTGGTTTATTCAAAATTAATTTTATAACCCATTGTTTGAAAAAACCTAAATTTTTATGATTAATTAAATATTCTAAATCAATAATTTTGAATAAGATAATTAATTGATTTGGGAAATTTATTAAAACTGTAGTTAACAAATCTTTTGCCTTGATATAATTATTTAATGATATTTCAATTTCTGATAATTTAATATAAATTGGTATAGCTCTTGAAGAATCAACATAAATTAATGATCTATTTAATATATTTTTGGCATCTAAAACTCTTGATTCTCCAATATAATAATTTGCATATTTCAACCATATATTATTATACTTGGATAATGGTATTAATGATCTTTCATATAATTGAATAATTTGTTTTTCTGTTCCATTAATTTCAACATAATCTAAATATTTATCCCAATTAGTCAATTCTTCAAATGATTTGAAAAAATCTGGTATGAAATATTCTAATTTCAAATTTTTTTCAAAATTATACAGTTCAAATGATCTATATTGAACTGTTATATATAAATCTGTGAAAATTTTCTTCAATTTTAATCCTAATTCATGATAATCTAATTTTTTTAAATCTTGTTTATCTAAATCAATTTTTAATTTATTAGTAAGATCAGATTCATTAACAATCTTGTTGAAATTCTTTATATTAATATTTTCAATTTCATTAAGCCAAATTTGGAAAAAGTGTGCAAAATTATAAATTGGTAATTCAATAACTTTCCGTAGTATACCATAATAATAAATTGATTTACCATTATATTTTTCTTCGAAATCTAAATAATCATTCCAAAATTCATAACTATGATAATGAAATCCAATTTTGAATTCAGCTTGTTGATAAAAATAAACTAATTTTCCATAATCCAACTCAATAACTCTTAAAAATTTCAAAAAATCTGTCCATAATAATAATGAATATGATATAAAACTTAACCCTTTTTCATAAATCAACTTTGCAACATCGGTATTCCCTAATTTGAACTCCAATCCAGCATATATAGACCAATATTTTTCAGCTTGAGGATATTTCAATAAAAATTGATCAAAAGTTATTCTAAATCTTTCAATTTGTGGTAATGGTGATAATTTTGTTAAATCTTTTGAAACATAATTTAATAAAGATTCCCAATGTTGGAAATTTTCAGGATCATTGGCCAATTGGATAGTCAAACTAGACCATTCTTCATCCACTATTGAGCTCATAATTGTGTATCTTATCTTTCTCTGTACTTGTTGTCCAGTATTCACTTCCTAAAGATGTTGATGATCTTGACATGTTAATTCCTTATGTTAATTTTCATTACATGCTATAAAAAAGCGCGAATGTTATGTAATCCCAGTGCTGAGTATTACTAAGACTAATACCGATTTAATTGAAAACTACTTCTACTACGCAATAACAATCTATAAATCACTGTGTAACACATATATTATCAATATCAATTCTCTCAGATAATTGAGCCGCAAAACAAAGATCAACAACAAAAAACAATATGATCACCCTTTAACCGTTAAATTAAAACCCTTGTATAGCAAAAATAAAAAATACCCATTAATAACGACCAACAAAATTGATAAAGGAGTGACTATAGTTAATAAAAATATTAAATTATTGGATATATGAACTTTATATGATAGAAAAAAAAAACTTGATTATTACTATTAAAATTAAATTTAGCATTGATTCTTTTTTATAGCTAATTTATGATATTATTATACTTTTTGTAAAGCAAGAAAAAACAAACAGAAAACCATTAACAACTTATAACTTGTAATTCAAAAAAAAACACACAAATCGTCTCTTATTTAATATTTATGAAAAGATATATGATTTAAATTCAAGATCATATTCTATTTGAATTATCACTTATTCTATTCTTATGAGCAATAGCTGCAGCTGCAGCTGCAGATGCAGATGATGAAATCCTTTGACTTGGTTGACGAGTTGTATTAGCACTATAAGGTTTACTTTTAAATTCTTGATCAATTGGACTATGATTTGCTGAAGTTGGATTAGATTTTGGTGAAACAAATCCAGATGCAATAACATATGGTGATGAGAATCCATTTTCTCCATTTTGAGAAATAGGAGTAATCTCTGATGTTGTTGCAGTAGTATTTGGTGATTGAGTTGGAATATTTGAATCAAATGAACCGGAATCTGGTGATATTGATGATGTACCTGAATTTTCATTTGAATTTGAACTTGGTGGTAATCTTGTTGCAGGTTGTAATGATGATTGAGATAATGGAGGTTCATTTTGAACTAAATTTTGTTGTCTATAAGCATCTTCTCTTCTTCTTGCATTTTCTCTTGCTTGAACTAATAAAGTTTGAGCTTTTTGTAATGAAACTGTTGGAGTTGCACATGAACTTATAATTGGAACAGATTCATCAATATCAATAGTGGCTTTAATTAATGCAGCCATCCAAGTTCTCATTTCTTCTTTACTTTCAACTGCAAAATAATGGATTTTTGGTTGTGTAAATGTTAAACCTTTTCTTGAACCTGGAGCTGGAGGAACTAATTTAAAACAAAATTTACCATGACCTGTACTTGCAGCATATAAAGAAACAAATTTATCATCTTCTTTAGCAGGTAAAACTTTATGAGACGTTATATCAATTAATCCACGTTCTCTTGAATCACTTAATGATGTAAAATATGATAATCTTGTACCATGTAATGTAAAATATCTTTGTTTCCAAGTACCAACAGCAATACCACCTCTTTTACTCATCCAACCAAAACAATCTGCAGATTTAATAGAATCAGCAGGATTTATATTTCTTATACCTTCCATAAATGCTGAAGTTTCTTTTTTAGTATTTTTAGATTTTAATGCAGTTGATGAAGAAATATTACGTAAAGTTTTAGCTCTAACAGCTTCAGAAACTGATCTTTTACCAGCTGGTGATTTTAATGGAGATTCAGGTTTTGATGGTTCTTTTGCAGAAACTGATCTTCTTTTATCATTTGAATTATTGACTGAAGTATCAATAGATGGTAATTTTGGAGCAGTTTGTAAAACTGGAGTATTGTTGGTTGATGAATTTAATTGAGGAGTTCTTTGTGGATCATGAGAATCTCTAAAGCCATCTCTTGTAGGACTTGAATTTCTATCATGATAAACCACTGAAGATTTTCTTGTTGGTGAAGTTCTTGTTGGTGAAATACCACCTCCATTATTAAAATTAGCATTTGATAAAAATGAAAAAACTGATGAATGACGACGATGTGAACGATCAACATTATTACCGTTTCTCGAACTAATTGCAACACTTGCATCTGAATTACCTCTAAAATGACCTTTTTTAAATTGTGCACTTGATTTTCTTGAATGATTTTGTTGAGTATCCATATATATACTTGAAGCAGGACGTCCATTATCTAAATGAGTTGTACTTAATAAATCACTAACAGATTGACTTTTAAAATTAGAATTTGATCTTGAATGTGAATAAGGTTGTTGGAAAGCAGTATTTACTTCATATGAAGGTTTTCTTGAATGATTTGTTGAATCAATAAATGAATTTCTCTTGTTTAAAGAAGGACTTAATTGATTGAAATTATCTTCTTTTAATTGAATTGGACTTGGATATGAAGGAGGATTTGGAGCTCTTCTTGGTGAAGCAAATTGACTTGGTGATTGAGGTAATTGTGGTACTTGAGATGATGGAGGATTTATTGATAATGGTCTTAAAGAATGACGTTGTGGTTGTGAAAATTTTTGATGATCTTGAAATTGATTTGAACGTCTTGAAATTTCTGGTATATCATCTAAAGATTGTGATTTTTTTCTTGCATGACCTAATGGACGTGTAAAAGTATCTAAATCATCATCTAATCCTCTATTATTTGTTGTTTTATTTGAACTATGTAATTCAGCAGGAGCTAATAATTTATTATAAGGACCATTTGATTCTTCTAAATTTTTTTGATGAGCCAATTCTTTTAATGCTTCAATTTCTTTGAACATTTCAAATCTTGTACCAAATGACAGGATATCTAATTCTTTTAAATAAGCTAATTCTAATTCTAATAAAATAGCCCCTGTAATTTTGTGTCTTGCAAATTGACCTGAAGAATTAACATCAAATCCTAAATAAGCAAAATAAGCAGTAACTTGTTCTGGAGTCCAAGATTCAACTTGTTCTGGGTTTAAAGAATCTTCAGATTGAATACTATAAGATCTTGGTCTATCTTTATTATTTGAATTTGAATTTGGTGTAGCTTCATTTCTTAATTCTTCCAGTGCTTTATCAATATCAGATATAGCACCATTTACAGAATCTTTTTTATTAATATCTGGAGTCATTTCAAAAGATTGATCTATTGGTTCTTGTTCTTCAGGTATGAATTGATGTTGAGATTTATTAAGAATTGGAGTAGCTGAAGCACTTGCACTTGGTAAAGAAACAGGAGATTGATTATTAATATTGGCTGAATTTGGACTAGCTATTCTTCTTGATCTTGATCTTAATAATGAAGGTCTTGAGAGACTTGGAACCAACTGAGTGAAAGATTTAGGATAAAGTCCAACAGATCCATTATTTAAAGATTTCCCCATATACCAACCATCATTATATTCTTTATCATCGGAAATAACTTCAATCTTATCACCTAGTGTCAAAGTCAGCTCATCTTCTAGTCTAGCACTGAATTCTTTAATCACTTGGTAGATGGCCCCAGTGGCAGCTTCTTCTAACCCAGTTGTTTTGATGGAGGGCAGTTGTTGTCTTGGATCGTTACCTGACATGTTGTTCCCTTTGTATATAGTATAGTACGTTTCAAATTTCAACAACTAATATTTGACCATAAAAAACACAACAGGAGAACTCAAAAACACCACACAATATTAAATATGATAAACAAATATATCAATATGAAATCACTAGTAATATATCAGTTTTGGCGGTTAAAATACCTGATCTTTAAATATGAGTTTCTTTCTTTGTCTGTCAATGGCAATTTAATTCTTGTTTATTTTAAATTCACGTTAAAGGAAAAAAAAAAAATGAATTTCACGAAAATGTGGCGCGTAACGTGTGGTTTTATATGGCAATTTCAAAAAAAGTCTAGACTTTCGTACAGCCGTTAGATTTAAATCTGCTACATATCTGAATCAAAAAACAATTTATATTAAAACACCTGAACCAATATCTAATCTCCCATTATTCTTATTATATTACAATCATTGAAGTGCCTCCAACTCTGCTGCAGCTGCGGCTTCCTCTTCTTCTCTTTGTTTTTTAACTTCATCAATAGACCCTAAAACAGTTTCATGTTTACGAAGTTCAACTAATCTTTCTTGTCTAGTTAATGGTCTTGAATATGCACCACCATTAGCTTTAACTTCTTCTTCTCTCTTCTTTTGTCTTATGGTATCTTCTTCTTTGGCTTTTTCTTTAGCTATACTTAATTCTCTTAAATTATCTTCATGATCTTTCTTTAATTGTTCCAGTTTATTATTAAATTGATCCAGTGTACCAAATGTTTTATTTGAATCTGAACTATAAGTTTCAAAATTAAAATTACCATTTAATTTATTATTTAAAGCCAGTTCAATTATAGTTGGTCTCTTTTTTTCCTCTAAGATAAATTTTGCCTTAACTTGTCTTCTTGTTCTATGTGGGAACATTTGTGCAATTAATCCAAAATCTGTACCCCATGTACCTAAAGCTTTATAAAATCTTTCAACTTCATCAACAGTCCATTTATCTGTATATCGTTGTTTACCATATGTAGCTGAATTAACAACATTTTCAAATGGATTTTCATCAAGACGTTCTCTTGTATCTTCACCTAAATTTGAATGTCTATCTAAAACTCTTGAATCTTCATCAACAATTAATTGACCATCTGCACCAACTTTTAATTGAATACCTTGATTATTATTTGCTAATTTAATTTCCTTTTCAGCTTTTTCTTCAGCTTCTTTTTGTTTTTGTTTTGTTTTCTCTTCATCTTCAACAACTTCATCATCTTCACCTGGAATTCCATCTTCATTATCTTCTTCTTCTTTTTTAGCTTCTTCAATTTTAATTCTATTTTCAATTTCTTCCTCCAGTGATTCAATTGAAACTTTTTCCTCTCTTGCACGTTGTCTTAATTGTCTTTTTTCAATTCTTTTCTTCATTTTATTTTTACGTGCTTCTTGGGCTTGATGGAAATTGTTAGAAATTTTACCAATTTTTAAACTTGGTTTACATAAATCACTAATTCTAAAAAATTCTTCATCAATTTCAATGTTTTTTGTTAATTCTGCATCTAAATTATTAATTAAAAATCTTGGAAGTTGTGAATAATTTTTAATTTTTTGTTCAGTTAATGATTCAATTGTTGTAGTATTTACTGAATCTTTTAATGATGGTGGAACAGCTTCAGTTGTAGTACTTGTTGAATCATTATTTTGTTCTAATGTTTTAGAAGAACTTGGTGCTGTAGATGGTCTTGATATTGGAGTTGCAATAGGAGTTGATTTTGATTTTGATGATGATGAAGTTTGTTCAGGAGCAGTATTTGGTCTTTCAACTGTTTTAGATTTACTGGTACTATCTTTATTAAGATCATCATCATCAACTGGTGCAGATGATGGTAAACTTGAAGCTTGAGTTGATGGAATAGGTATTGAACTTGAAAATAAACCTTGACTTTGACTTGATAATTCAGATTCTTGAGTATTTGAAATTAATGATTTTTTTGTTGATTTTGGATCTTCTTCATCCTCATCTTCATCATCTTCATTTAATTTTTCTGAAACTGTTGATGGTGGAACACTTGATGTTGTAGTTGTTGGTGTAATAGTGATTGTAGTTGCACCAGGCGCTTCACTAACTGATTTTCTTTTAGTAGTCGAATTTCTCCTACTTGTTGTTGTACTTCTTCTTCTTTTTAAAGGCATTGGAGGTTGTGGTATACCAATAACATTACCTTTACGTTCAATTTGAGTAGATGAAGTTGTAGCAGTATTAGAATCATGAGAATAACCACCTTGAATTGAAACTTTTTTAAATAAATCTCTATTCGATATATTATTCAGTGTTGATAATCTTCTTGTTCTATTTTCTTGAGGTTTTGAAGTATTAGTACTTGTTGTTGATATAGCATCATCTTCATCACTTGAATTTTCATTATCATTATCATTGTCTTCATTATTACTATTGTTTATATTTGTCTTTTTAGCAGAATCTAAAGCAGGAGTTATACTAGCTCTTCTACTAACATTTGGAGTTGCACTTGCAGCACGACGTTGTTTAACTTTAGGTGCGAACCTAATACCTGATTTATCTTGAAACATTGTTAGTATGAGATTCAATCAAAATGAAAAGGGATAATATAATACTCACTGACAACACTACTCATCTTCTATTCAACTTCACTTGTATGTTATATAGTCTTTTTTGGTGATTAACTCTTTGACTTTTTGTTTTGAGAAGTAAAAAAGTTGTTTATACAAAAGAAAAATTGATTTTTGTCTCATCGGAGTAATTTATTACATAAGCGACGCGGTGAAATAAATTTATATTCATAATGAATAAAGTACAAATTATTAGGTATCTTTTATGAAGATTATGAAGTTCTATTATGCAATTGATTAGAAGTGGTGTTTATTCTTCACAGAGATATTTACATATCTTTGTGTTTTTGATTCGTTCTTCTTGTTGTTCTCGTTGTGATGTTTTATTTGTATTATGATTTGATTTATTTGAATTGAATAATAAATCTCTAATATCTGACCTTATTTGTATCAATTGTTTTAATTTCAAATCAGTATTCTATTCAATTCACGTTAGTACTGATATGGTTGTCTTCAAGAAGGACTATTAACATAACTCACTGGTAATATAACAATCAATTCATTTAAATCTTCCACAATTATAACTAAATAAAAAATATATTGTAAACCTTGAGCACCTTCATTAATAACAATATCTAAGATTTTATTACTTGGAATGAATCTATGATTAATATTTTGATTTATTAGACCACTTGATTCTTGAATTTCAATCCCAAGATGTTTATTTAATGATATGAATTTTTCTATCAAAAGAACATTAGTAGTTATCTTAAAATTCATGAAGAAATTGAACATACGATGATTAATCTTTATAAAATTGAAAGCTAGTATAAACCCAATAATTATCAATGAATAATACACATTAATTGAAATTGAATTAGGTATTTGAGGAAATATTAATAAAACCCCAAATATTATAGAAATACATGATTTAATAATGATTGATAATTTATTTGAATGATAATAGATATACTTTAATTGATCATCAGTATCACATTGTTTAACAAGAGTCATTATATTGATGAAAGTGATACATGATATTGAATCTTTGAAGTGTTGAATCTGTACTATACAATATCAGTATAATCAGTACAAGACCCGCGAAAATCAAAATATTTACCCTACTTTGAGATCACATTATGTGTTACATAATCAAAAATTAATTTGCATTTTAATTTCACCCTTTTTTGCAAAGGAAATTTAACTTCGAATAGAAAACTAGATTTATATGAGTTTTGTAATCAAATATAAGCCATTGATTAACCAATAATAAACTATTAAAACTTTTAAAAGGCATAATCAATTGAATTAATATTGGCTGCTTTGTATATAGACACATAGACACATGGACACATACGTGAACGCCCTAAGATTTACGAATCAGATAATGTGGGATCAATGAGCCATTACATGATTACATGATTGAAGTATAAGTTGATGGTATAGTCAACCATATATACAAGTAATCAATAACCGTTAATAGAAAGTCTAAACATTGATAAAGTACTCGCGATTTTAGTCATAACGGTTCAAGTTTCATTCTTTAAAGTTTTGAGAATCGCTGACACTTTATAAGCAAAAGACTGACAAACACCGGTTTCAATTGACTTATGGTGTAGAACAATAGAACAATATACAATCAATTTGATAGCAATTAAATAAGACCATAATGTAGTTTAACCTGTCAATTGAACGACATCAATACTCTTTATCGTTCTTCAATCTTCATCTTTATCAGTTCAAATCTACAACCATTTGTCCATCTTAAACGAAAATGTCCCAATTTAACCGTTACTCTTTAAATTCAAATCCCAGTTCAGCTTACAATTTTCTATCTTTTGATTGGCTTTTCTCACTGGGAAATGGTCCGTATTGTTTGTCTCCTTTGGGTCAAGAAATCCCCCGAGAATAAACGTCTCATGGAGTTGGGAACCCAAATGAGAATTGTAGTACACAATAAACAGATATATATAACAAGTTACAACTTTACTCTCATTTGTTTTATATTATACTATTATTCAATTCCTCATTATTTCATTATCACTGTGTTCAAATTGTCCCAGTTCTCATTTCTCATTTGTCCCGTGTCCCGAAACTGATAAATTCTGACCATTCAAATTCGAGTGAAAAAAATCAAAACCATCAAAAGAAAAAAAAAAAAACAGACATCAAATAAAATTGCAAACGAAACCGAAAAGTTCAAACTCTTTAAAATCAACAATCTTTCCATTTTATTAAATTGTTTACACTTTTAATTAAGGAATATTGGTTAATTTACTAATTTATCAACTACAAAACAATCAATCCATTCAAGTCATTTCATATATCACTTAGGAATATCTCATTCTCATTACATTCTTAGAATTTGAATTTTAATTACCTCTGTTTACTATACAATTAAAACAAAATAGATCAAAAGAATTTTAAAATCAATTTTAAATTCTAATTTCAAATATTATATTCATTATTTCATAATTTCAATCATATTCAAGCTTAAATCCATTTGAATTATTTTTGATTTTCCCAAAAAAAACTACCTGCTGCTTCTTTTTTTTTACTCAGTGTGTGTTTTTTCTTCCATTACTTTTTTTTGTTTTCCGCCAATTAAAAAAATTCGGAATCAAATAAAAAGATAGATATCTAATATCAAATAATACCAATTTCATAAATCATATACAATTCAATTCATAATGTTGTCTTCACCAGTTCAACACATTGATTCATCTTCAAAATTAAATTTTTTTAATCCAACTCCTTCAAGTTTTAGAAAAATGTCAATAACTCAACAAACTCCTCATGCTAATGATAAAAATTCTTCAGTTATAGTTGATGATGTTACTTTTAATCCAAATAAAGCAACTCCAATTGTTAAAGCTGATATTAATGTTCCTTATGTTCCAGATCAAATATTTATTGGTGGTCGTAAATCTAAATTAGCTGTTGCTCAAAGTGAAATTATTAAAGCAAAATTAAAAGAAAATTTCCCTTCAACTTCATGTCCAATCTTAGCTTTAACTACATTGGGGGATCAAGTTTTAAATAAACCTTTATATTCATTTGGTGGTAAATCTTTATGGACAAAAGAATTGGAAATCTTATTATTACAAGATATGGGTGAATATCATCAATTAGATTTAATTGTTCATTCATTAAAAGATATGCCAACTAATTTACCTGATGAATTTGAATTGGGTTGTATTATTGAAAGAGAAGATCCTTCAGATGCTGTTTTAATGGCCAAGAATTCACCATATAAATCTTTACAAGAATTACCTTCAGGTTCAGTTGTTGGTACTTCATCAGTTAGAAGATCTGCTCAATTAAAGAAAAATTTCCCAAATTTAATATTTGAAAGTATTCGTGGTAATTTACAAACAAGAATTCGTAAATTAGATGATGAATCAACTGAATTTAAATGTATTATTTTGGCTACTGCTGGTTTAACAAGAGTTGGTTTAGAACATCGTATTACTCAACGTTTAGATGCTTCAGTTATGTATCATGCAGTTGGTCAAGGTGCCTTAGGTATTGAAATTAGAAAAAATGATGCTATAATGAAGCCAATTTTGAAAAGTATTGAAAATGTTGAAGCTACTATATGTTGTTATGCAGAACGTTCATTAATGAGAACTTTAGAAGGTGGATGTTCGGTACCAATTGGTGTATGGAGTAAATATGATTCTCAAACCAAAAATTATAATTTAAAAGCTATTGTTATTTCAGTTGATGGTACAAATTATGTTGAAGATGAAATTACAATGGAAATTAATGATTATAAATTAGATTCAAAAAGATGTGGTGAAATTTTAGCACAAAAATTAATTGATATGGGTGCAAAAGAAATTCTTGATGAAATAAATTTTGATAAAATTAATGAAAAAGATGAATAAACTTTTTATGCCCACTAAACTTCCATAATACAAATTAATGAATATCAAGACCAATTTTTAATTTATTTTTATTTTCTCATGATTACGACAAATATAAAAACCATACACATACACAAATTCAACTTAATCAAAAAAAAAAATCATATCATATATATACCATTTCATATTGCATTTTTTTTCATGGCTATTTCAAATTAATGAATAATGTCCACAACAATCAAAAAGAAACAAAAACAAATCCAATATCAACTATTAATTCATACACATACCTGTATATATCTCCATATGTGCAGAATTTAAAATTTGATATATAAAGCATTTCAGTGACTTTTGGATTTTACTTTTTAATGTTTTTTAATGCTTTTTTTTTTATGTATTTTTACAATTACTTATACACTACTACAGGTTGGAATTTAAATATATTATATTATGTACATTAAAAATCAAAATCTTATAGATTAATAAATATTTATAATACGTTAATGAAATGTTGTAGTTGCTTAGTATATATGAGGTTGCTGATCAATTTCATGAGATGGAAAATTAAAGTTCTCATATATGGAATTAGCTGATCATGAGAGAATAATATTCTGGGTATAAATTGAGCTGAATATATCCAAATCCAGTACGTCAAGTTTTTAAAATTTTGATATTATTTAATACATTGCAAATTAGGGGTGGATTGTTTCTTGATGAAATTAAATAACAAATCTGATTGGGTGTTTATTTTCGTATACTGTACTTTTGATAGTAAATTTATTAAGACTAGTATGCATTAGTCTTTTATGGGTTTTACTTACATCCAAGCTCAGTCGATTGAAGATTAATTATGATAGAAAATTTATGATGTTATTAATGAAAAACTGATAGAATTACTACCATTATATACAACATGTTAGATTCTGAAATTGTGACTTCATTCGATATGAGTTATATTATACACTAATTCATGATTAATATGGTTTGATATTTGATGATATTTTTGAGTTGTAATGACTTTAAAAGAGATTGGATTCACCATTTTAAATACATGAGTCTATTATTTTTGATTGAGTTTATGTTGATTTGTAGTTAATGTACAGCTTATTTGGAAATATTCACTAGTGTAGTTGTACACCGTTCAGTACTGGCGCTTATGATTCTCATGATTAGTGCATTATGAGAAGTTATTGAGAAATTTGAGAACTTTATATATTGAGTTATTTTTTGAGCTTTCATTCAATGAGTTGATTCGCACATTGAGTATAAATACTCTTGCAATATTCCATTAATATAATTATTCCCTCGGGATAGTTTGTGATTTATGATATCACTAGTCATTACCTTTTCTTTGGCGCATGCTAGTTCTTCTTCGTTTCTGAATTGTTTTATCAATGGTTATTGACCAAATGATGGTTAATATGATGTGTAATTTGATTTATTCAAATGATTTGCATCATCCCATCATTATGATCCTATATATATACAACTTTTGATTTGATGCGTTGATATTCGATGATATTGTTATTACAAGAGATCAAATTCACCATTTGAAATACATTAGTTTAATTTTAGTCATATCACCCATTTGTAGTTATATTGCATAGTAATTACTCAAAGGGGAAGTCAAGATATATTAAGTTTAATAATCTCAGCGGTTAATTTTGAATTGTATATAAACTTCAGAAAATCCCTTGATTGTTTTTCAACGTTTACTATTTTAATTCAACTAATTGATTTATTCTCTGAGCTCATCATATTTTGGGGTGTTGTCACACATTAAACTTTTGACCCTTTTGTATCATACAATCAGATAGTACTAGTTGGTTCATGCATTGGCTCCAAAACTTTATGTCAACTTTATGTCAACTTTATTGTATAAATCAACACGATTATGTTTGAATTGATGTGGGAATCATAACAACATCACTAATCTAATTTGATTTTAAGCAACTGAATCATTATAATAATATCTTTATAATTGATGATATAACGTATCACTGTTTATAGTTTAATGTTGATGATTTTATACTCTTTTTCAAATTGAGCCAAATTGTAGTTTTACTTGTTGCGCGATTGGAAGGAATTTCATAAAATAACGCGTAAAAATTCCATTTTTTCATCTTAATATCATATATATGTATTGGGATCAGTTTAGTTCTTTCAGATATTAAGATGAACTTTTTATGATCGAATTTTTGAGTAGCGTGGTTGGACATGACCCCAAAAGGGGTTTGAAACTATTATTTGAAGTTTTTAAGTACAATATCATTGACAAAGGTGTTCCTGAATTTGAAAAATTTGTGAGTCGTTGAAAGGGTCTAGTAAATTGTGAATAACTTTAATAATTACTCAAAACAGCTCAAGTGAATATAATATGGTGATCATGACATAGAAGTATAGAAATGATATCCCATCACTGAGATTGATAATATAATTCTTGTTTTTAATATGCTTTGATATTTGATGATATTGTATGAGTTCAACAGACTTCAAAAGAGATCAAGTTCACCATTATAAATACATGAATTTATTGACTTTCAAATAAAATCTCTAGTAATTGTAGCAGCTACGGTTAAGTGCCAAATAGATCAAAAGACTCAGCTAATCAAATACACTGGTAATGTTTATAATCTTCTAAGTTATTATGAGTTGTATAGTTTATATACCGATGAGCTGGTGTCTTTACCAGATGACATAATCGATAAGAATTTTTTTTTTCTTAATATATAGAACCAGAAAAGTATAAAAATTAACAATACTTGAAAAACAAGAGATATCATCAGATTTTACAATCGTCAGCTTTAAAAGATGGATGGGGATGATTTGTTTGATGTCTTCGATGAGAAGCCAAGTTTGCCTCCTCAAATCCCATTGAAGAAAGAATCAAATGATTCTGGAAAAAAAATTGAAGAAATTGAAGATGAATCAAATGATCAATCTAAAAAGAGATCTGCTTCACCAACTCCAATTCCTAATGAATCAAAAAAGACTAAAAAAGATAAGAAATTAGTTGATAAGAAGGAAAAATCTGAAGTTGTTCCATTAGTCGCTGATTCTTTTGAACAAGAAGCTTCAAGAGAAGTTCAAGCTTCAAGTGGGTTAATGCCAAAAACAAGTGAAGAAGCAAAAGTTAAACTTTCACATCAAGTTAGACATCAAGTTGCTGTTCCTTCAGGTTATGATTATAAACCAATTGGTGAACATAAAAGATCAAATGAAGCTCGTACATATCCATTCACTTTAGATCCTTTCCAAGATACTGCTATTTCTTGTATTGATAGAAGTGAATCTGTTTTAGTTTCTGCTCATACTTCTGCTGGTAAAACTGTTGTTGCTGAATATGCAATTGCTCAATCTTTAGGTGAAAAGCAAAGAGTTATTTATACATCACCAATCAAAGCTTTATCAAATCAAAAATATCGTGAATTATTAGCTGAATTTGGTGATGTTGGTTTAATGACTGGTGATGTTACAATTAATCCAGATGCTGGTTGTTTAGTCATGACTACTGAAATTTTAAGATCAATGTTATATAGAGGTTCAGAAGTTATGAGAGAAGTCGCATGGGTTATTTTCGATGAAGTTCATTATATGAGAGATAAAGAACGTGGTGTTGTTTGGGAAGAAACAATCATCTTATTACCTGATAAGGTTCATTATGTGTTTTTATCTGCTACTATTCCAAATGCTATGGAATTTGCAGAATGGATTTGTAAAATTCATTCACAACCTTGTCATGTTGTTTATACTGATTTCCGTCCAACTCCATTACAACATTATTTATTCCCAGCAAATGGTGATGGTATTCATTTAGTTGTTGATGAAAAATCAACATTTAGAGAGGAAAATTTCCAAAAAGCTATGGCTTCAATTAGTGATAAACAAGGTGATGATCCTAGTGCAGTTGATAAAAGTAAAGGTAAAAAAGGTCAAACTTTCAAAGGTGGTAATAAAGATGGTAAATCAGATATTTATAAAATTGTTAAAATGATTTGGATTAAAAAATATAATCCAGTTATTGTTTTCTCTTTTAGTAAAAGAGATTGTGAATCTTTAGCTTTGAAAATGAGTAAATTAGATTTTAATACAGAGGAAGAAAGAGATACTCTTACAAAAATTTTCAATAATGCAGTTGATGTATTACCAGAATCTGATAGAGAATTACCACAAATTAAACATATCTTACCATTATTAAGACGTGGTATTGGTATCCATCATTCCGGTCTTTTACCAATCTTAAAAGAAATTATTGAAATTTTATTCCAAGAAGGTTTATTAAAAGTTTTATTTGCTACTGAAACTTTCTCTATTGGATTAAATATGCCTGCTAAAACTGTTGTTTTCACTTCAGTTCGAAAATGGGATGGTAAAGGTTTCCGTTGGGTTTCTGGTGGTGAATATATTCAAATGTCTGGTCGTGCTGGTCGTCGTGGGTTAGATGATCGTGGTATTGTTATTATGATGATTGATGAAAAAATGGAACCTCAAGTTGCTAAAGGTATGGTTAAAGGTGAAGCTGATAGATTAGATTCTGCATTCCATTTGGGTTATAATATGATTTTAAATTTAATGAGAGTTGAAGGTATTTCTCCTGAATTTATGTTGGAACATTCATTCTTCCAATTCCAAAATGCTGCATCAGTTCCTGTATTGGAAAGAAAATTATATGAAATTGAAGAACAATTGAAAACTATTACAATTGAAGATGAAAGTACAGTTCGTGAATATTATGATTTACGTAAACAATTGGATGTTTATAATGAAGATGTTCGTCATATTATTACACATCCAGCTCATATATTAACCTTTTTACAAGGTGGTAGATTATTAAAAATTCAAATTGGTGAATTTGATTATGGTTGGGGTGTTGTTGTTGATTTCCAAAAAAGACAAAATAAAAGAAATAAAAGTGAAACTTATACTGATCATCAATCATATATAGTGAATGTTTTAGTAAATACCATGTTTGCTGATTCACCAACCAATTTGATCAAACCATTCCAACCAAATTTCCCAGAAGGTATTAGACCTGCTAAAGAAGGAGAAAAATCTAAAAATGAAGTTTTACCAATTACATTAGAATCAATTAAATCTGTTGGTAATTTAAGATTATATTTACCAAAAGATATGAAATCAAATCAACAAAAAGAAACTGTTTCCAAGAGTATAAGTGAAGTTCAACGTCGTTTTCCTGATGGTATTCCATTATTAGATCCTGTTGAAAACATGAAGATTGAAGATTCTGAATTTAAAACATTATTAAGAAAAATTGAAGTTTTAGAATCAAAATTATATTCAAATCCATTATCTTTATCACCAAGATTGAAAACATTATATGAAGAATATAGTGCTAAAGTTGCATTAAATGATGATGCTAAATCCTTAAAAGACAAAATCTTAGAAGCACAAGCTGTCATTCAATTAGATGATTTAAGACATCGTAAAAGAGTTTTACGTCGTTTAGGATTCACTACAGCTTCAGATGTTATTGAATTAAAAGGTCGTGTTGCTTGTGAAATTAGTACAGGTGATGAGTTATTATTAACTGAAATGATTTTCAATGGTAATTTTAATGAAATTACACCAGAACAAAGTGCTGCTTTATTATCATGTTTTGTTTTTCAAGAAAGATCAAAAGAAACACCAAGATTAAAACCAGAATTAGCAGAACCTTTAAAACAAATGCAAGAAATGGCAAGTAAAATTGCTAAAATTTCTAAAGAATCTAAAATTGAAATTGTGGAAAAAGATTATATTGAAACTTTTAGACCAGAATTAATGGAAATTGTATTTGCTTGGTGTAAAGGTGCTACTTTTACACAAATTTGTAAAATGACTGATGTTTATGAAGGTAGTTTGATTAGAATGTTTAAAAGATTAGAAGAAATGTTAAGACAATTGGTTGTTGCTGCTAAAACTATTGGTAATGTTGCCCTAGAGGAGAAGATGGAAAAGGCAATTGAACTTGTCCATAGAGATATTGTTAGTGCTGGTTCATTGTACTTGTGATCATAGTTTAAAACGTTTTTATTTAAGTAAAAATTTGTAATATAGAATTAAAATTTGTTACTAGTAGTTTAGTTTTTTTTTTTTAGTTTATGAAAATGTCTATTGATAAATCGGTATATACACTCTGTAGTATGTTCCCTCGTGAAATGTGATACTATTCTCATGCAACTTTCACCCTATAATAGGAAACCCTTTTTAATAATTATACTTTTTCGATTCACCACTCTTGTTAAATGCTATATCTAGATCCACTAGTTATGTGCATTGTAGTTTTATCAAATCGCCGACAATTAGATCGTGCCTTTAATAAGTTCCATATACTTTATATCTCCCATATAACGACACAAACGTTCATTACTACTAGAAGTACTGCTTAGAAATATTCTCATTAAATATATAATTTGAGTTTTTTATCAAAAAAATTAGTGACGTTCGACGCTATTATAAATTGAGGTGATAACTAGATCGAATGAGAACTTTTCAATATTTGGTATAAAAACCCTTGAAATTCCCAGCTTTGTATAATATATTTCTTGATTTCACTCTTTGCAGTGTCTTTCTCTTAAAAGCAATAACTGCATTTACCGTGTTTATGGTAGTTTCTGATTTGGTTGTTGCATCTCCATTACCACATAATTTTCATAATCACATATCTGCACATGTTACCAGAATGGCATTTTCATAACCACTTGTGGACTTGTGGACCGTTGTGGTTACCGAAATTATTATAACCACGAATACTACCATAACCACAGGTACTTACCAGTATATTCCCATAAGCACATGTATTTACCATCATAATCTCATGTTCTCATATTTACATGTAATTACCCTTATATACTTATTTAGCAACGATGATTTACCATCACATCTCCATATTAACCCATAACCACATATGATATACTAATCAGATATCATAAGTATAAATTATGCGGAACACTTTAACAAAGCTCATATCGAATCATTACATGATCATCTCATTACTAGGGACTAGCGACTAGTGATAACACAACGCGCAAAATTACCAAAGAAGCTGGTGGTTCTGGTTGATATTCTTTTCATCCGTTGCTGGAGTGATTCAGTCTTCAGTAGGTCTGGTTTTGTGGTCACATCGAAATTAAAGATACCTTTGATAAAACTCTTAGTATAAGGAAGTTTGACCCAGAGGACTACATGACAGATATAAAGGTTGACTAGAACGATCATATCTAAGCAAAGGACGATATGTTGCAAAAGATCTATGATTATTTTTCTACATTCTTTTCTGGCCGCTTTACTGAGGTTCCACGTACACCAGAATCAAATGTCGGTGAAAATGCTCGCGAAGATGATCAAAGCAGTATTGGGAGTATTGGGATTGCATCGTTCTTTGTTATGGCTGAATGTGATCAAATGAGGGATCTCGAGAGAGCAGCTTTTGAACTCATGGAAATTGATAGAAAATTCAACAAGTTTCAAGACAGTGTGGAAATAATGAAAATAATATCCCTGCTGGTTTGCTTCGGTTTGGCTATTATATTAGGTATTTTGATGTTATTTCAAAAGGGAGAAAAGTTTAGAAAGTTGTTACTGTTTCTTATTTTGTCAATAAGTATGGGTTACCTATCCCCATTTATCTTTACAAACTCTTTTATTCAAAGTTACTTCAGTTCTTCAATAAAAACCCATCAAAAAATTTTAAGAACAAAATATTTAAGTAACCAAAAGATAATACTTCAGTTATCAATTTACTTCATTAGATTCTATTTGGTAACTTTTTTAATGTCAACCATAATAGCTTTATACGCTATTTATAATAAGGCACCAAAACAATAATTTATGAAACACCTTGCTATTCAGTTAAATTTAATAACAAATGACAAACTTTATTTATGAATAATATATTGATAATTGTTTGCAAGCAACTAAATCCAAAATACGGCATATAACAACAAAAGTTGAAGTATCAGATCTTATTATAAAGAAGTTCAAGTGGTTTAAATTCTCAATCTTCAATAAAAAATTCATCACCAAAGAAACGACATCAACAACAACTCCAACAGCGGAAATCTCAAAACAATCAAGATGTTGATTTAAAACCCACCAAGCATGCATAATAATCAAATAACATAACAGCATCAAAAACAAACACAAAAGATAATAATGATTTAAATAGCCCATTGAGAGATAAATTAGCAGGCTCACAACAGCATGATCTTACAATCAAGTTCATCAATTAGATGATTTCAAATTCTGTTTTAAATTTAACAAATTATTTTGCATCAAGAAGAGAAAACAGTTTCAGTTCAATTGGAAGTGATTACAATCAAGTTCATCAAGATGATTTCAAATTCTGTTTTAAATTTAACAAATTATTTTGCATCAAGAAGAGAAAACAGTTTTAGTTCAATTGGAAGTGATAGAACAAAAACTAAATATAGACATGAATCAAGTGCACCAGCTACTGCTTCCACGCTATTACCAACTACATTATCTACACCTATGTTGTTATTAAATTCTCATCAAGAAAGAGCTCTATCCAAACTATCTTCAGTAATGGAGATGGAATCTGGTACAATTTCATCAAATGATGTATAACGTAAAAATTCAACAACTCAAGAACAAGTTGATAATAATGAATCTGCATTAGATGATGATCAAATGGGTAAGTCGCCAACAGTATCAACTATGATAAACCAAAATTTAATGTTGAAAGTGATGGATTACAAAGTTCATCTGAACAAATTGATTTTAATATATCAAGAAATTTATCACCAAAGACAACAAGAAGACAAATCTTAGCAACTGAAATATCTGATTTAATGAGAAGCTAAGAATGAAGCTAGATGATAATTAAGATAAAAATAATAATGATCAAACTAATAATGAATCAATAAAACTGAATTTGTTCAAAATCCAATTGATTCAAATAAACCCAAAAATTATTAGATCAAAAATCAAAAAAATTGATAATGATGAATATAGGATTCAAATGGTATAGATTTTTAAACAAGACTTTGGTAATATAATGTTTATACGTTTCGAAAAGTTATATATATATATATATATCATGATTAATTAGTTTATAATGTATTTCTTAAGGTGATTCTTATTTAATTGATGAATTATAGTAGCTGTATGGTCTATATTATTTCATCATCTGTAAGGTTTTAAAAATTGATAATTATGTCAATTATAATGAGTAGATCATCTATATGAATACTGCCAATTATGATGTACATCATGATACGTATACACAAGTTTAGAGATTACGTACTGAGAAGATCACCAGCATGTCAATGATTATCAGTAGTTAATTATCTGATGAGAACTTTTATTATACTTTATAAAATTTTTATAATGAGAAGTTTCAAAGGTCATATGTATATATCAATTGTTGATCTTATTCCTAGCCTATTTATGTTTATACATATTCATTGAAGCTCTTGATTCATAATATTTCATTGAATAATATCAGCTTTAACCAGAACATTATCATCATCATGAAATTTGAAAAATCCGGGTACATAATTGAAGTTCTATCAGTACCTTATGTTAAACCTAAAAAAGATGCAGTTGATAAAGTTAGAAATTTATTAGTTTCGAAATCACCAAAACATTTTAAAATAAATCATGAAACTTTAAACAGTTTTTTTGAAGATAAGAAATATAATAAGTTACTTAGTGTTTACGAAGAATTCCCCAAACCTTTGAAAGAACTTACATTAAACCATAAATGTATTGCAATGAGATGGAGAAGAGTTAATGAATCAGAAAACTCATTACCAATGAAAATATGTCAAGTTGAACTTTATTCAGTACCTGGGCCATATGGTTTTAAGGATGGTTTGATCAAAATATTATCAGATTTAATCGAAAATTTCCAAAGTGATATACCTACTTTTTTAAATACTGAAGTATTTGGTAATGGATTAGATATGATCAAAGAAAATAAGATATTAATGAATCTTTTCCAATATGAAAGCCCAGGTGATCCGTTACCCTTGAGAATCATTTTAGAGAGTTTACTCACTTACTTTATGTCAAATGAATATGAAACTCGTGGTTCATCATATAATCATGGTTCATCATATAATCATATAGTGAAAGCATATGAATTCAATCATCAAGATCAACTCAAGTTTATGGTAATATGGGGTGAAAAGCTAACCAAAAAGACTTCTAAGCTTATGTTGGAACAATTGAATTATATAATTACAAATGATGCATTATCTGAAACTCCAAATGATAGTATAATTGCATTGATTCCTGGTTATCTGAATTATAATATTTCAGGTAATAATGAAGAACTTCCACCAAGTTATGGTTCAAGTGTTGGGTAAAAATTATGTGTGATACCAAATAAATAGTCGATATATTAATTGATGATATTACAATTACTTCAGAGATCAAATTTACCATTAGAAATACATTTCTTTAGTTCTTTATTCACCCATTTGTAGTGATCTATTAATACATTATAACAATATAGCTTTAATTACTTAAAGAGGAAGCCAAGCTCTGATGTTTATAAATTAAAGTTTAATCATCGGCAAATTTTGAATTGACGTATAACATTATAAATACTTCAAAAAGTCCCTTAATTTTTCTGAAATTTTACATAAACATTGCAACTAAACTGCATATTCCAATAGTTCGAGTAATGTTTCTGTTGGAGGCTTTTTCTACGATCATGGTCGTGATATTTTATATCAATTATTAGCGGAGATTATAGCTGCTAAAGTCTAGTAGATATAAATCATGATGATTATGTTTGATTTGTTGTGGAAATCACAACATCACTAATCTGATTTTGATTTAACAAAACTAAATCATCACAAGAATGTATTTATAATGTATGATTGGAATATCATGAGATCACTATATAATTCAATGTTAATGATTTACTCTTTTCAAATTGAGTCGTAGCTTATAAAATTACATTCAGTATCAATTATGTCACCGAATTCCAACTAACACTAAGTAATGTTGTTTCCAATTTCCAAAACAGACTTTTACGTTATTTGAAAGGATGGGAAAGGTTTTGTGTTTTTTCAAAAGAAGAAGAGAAGGATACCTAGATAACTACCTATGTTGAAGCAAGTCATATTCAAAAGTGTTTGTAATTACGCGATTGGAAAATTAAAGCATGATTCCCAAATTCGATCGTTCTAATTATAATTTGTCTTTTATTATGAATATTGGAGCTACATTACTAATTGTTTGACGATCACATCTTTTTTATGAATTTCTTGATTTATTCACCATTAGATGATTTATTTCAATGTTCTCAATGGACAGGCCTATACTATACTGTATGGATGAGATGCAAATCACCAATGGTTTTGTGCAAATGTCGTTTTGAAGTAATAAAGAGTAATCATTAATTGTTCTTTTGCGTTTATAATTTGATTGATCAAGTGAATACAATAGGGTGGTAATGGAAGTGAAACAAAGATTTATAGCCCATCACTTAGATTGATAACGCTTACACAATTCACGTTTTTAATGGTTTGATATTTGATGATATTGTATAAGTTTTATAACAGACTTTAAAAGAGATCTGGTTCACCATTATAAATACATGAATTAATTGTATTTTCATTGAAGTATTCTGTAGTACGTGTTACTAGTAGTACAATTTATTATTCAATTATAAATATCACATTATTTATTGAATACTGACTTTAATTATCGATTTGATTAATTTTTTGCTGTTGAGTTCAGTCAAGTGCCGCTACTGAAGTTTGAACACAACTTTTTTTTTGCTCAACCTCACAAATTTATGAAAAATCGGAGAAAGTGACTATTTTGGTGTCTTTAAAAGAGGTGTTTTATGGCTTTATGAGAAAGCAGTACATTTTAACGGTACATGCTTTTAATAAAGTATCTTCTAGAATTCATTAACAATATTAACACATCCTTTTTTTATCTCCATCTATATTTCAAAATTATGACTTGTTTTACTGTTTTACTGGTTGACTAGTCTCCCGAACTTAAAATTGAACATGATTTTTGAACTTAACAAATATTCTACTCCTATTTTAAACAACCTTAACAAAACATAATTGCATATTAAAAGCCATCTTACTCCAAAAGTTTCAGATTTGTAAAAAACATCAACCATTTACTAATTAAATTCTTAAGTTACGTTAAAAAATGGTTAAAATACCACTAATATCTCAACCACCAAAAAAATCAAATTCGCGCATAGTTAATAAAAAATCAAAATTAAATTAGTTGTAAAGCTTAATAATAATACATCATCAACATCATCTCCAAAACTCTCCATAAACAATGTCACTTGATAAACCTGCTAGAGTGCAAGTAGACCCAGAAACTATCCCACAAGAAGATGCTCCACCTCAAACAGGTACTGTTTTCAATATTTGGTATAATAAATGGTCTGGTGGTGGAAATCAATTCCAATTAGTTAAGGCAAAATATAAATTAAATGTTGAAAAAGATTCAGGTTATACAAAAGCAAATAAAACTGATGGTTTAAAGTTTTTTTGTTTATTTTTCGCAAAAGGAATGTGTACAAAGGGTAAAAAATGTGAATATTTACATAGAATACCAAATGAATTTGATTTTTTACCTCAAACTGTTGATTGTTTTGGTCGTGAAAAATTTAGTGAATATAAAGATGATATGAGTGGGATTGGTTCTTTTAATCATGTTAATAAAACTCTTTATATTGGTGGGCTAATCATTAAAGATAATACTCATGATTTATTAAATAAAAATTTTAGAAAATTAGGTAAAATTGTTAAAATTAATGTTATAAATAATAAAAATTGTGGATTTATAACTTTTAAAGATGAAATTAATGCTCAATTTGCTAAAGAAGCTATGATTGGTCAAAGTCTTTATGAAAATGATATATTAAATATAAAATGGGCAAATGAAGATCCAAATCCTGCTGCAATTAAACAGAAAAAAAGACAACATGAAGAAGAAACTTTCCAAATTGTGGAAAATTTATTAACAAAATTTGATCAATCTAAAAAAATTAAACCAAATCAACAACAAGAACCTGAAATTGAAGAACCTAAAGAATTTGAAACTCCTGTAGTTGAAAAGGAAATTAAACAAATTGAAGCATCAAATTCCAAATCAACTATACTTAATGAAAAATCATTAAATTATTTAAGTCTTTTAGGGAAAGTTAATCAAACTTCAACTCAAAAGAAAGAAACAGCACCATTAGTTTCTGGTTATGAAAGTAGTGATGATGATGAATGAACCCTTCCCTACCTTCCCCCAATCTAACGAATTATGAACTATATAGAACTTGTATTATGAACAATAAAAAAGCATTAATATCTATTAATATTCTATACAATACTTTTCATATTATTATTTAATTTTTTAAATTCATCAGGAATTTTATTCCCACTTTTAATTAAAATTTTTTTTAAATCATTATAAATTTCAAAATCTGATTCATCATTAAGGAAAGTAATTGAAGTACCATAAGAACCTGCTCTACCAGTTCTACCAACTCTATGAATATAATCATCAATTTTCTTAGTCATTTGGAAATTTAAAACTAATGAAACATTTGGAATATCAATACCACGACTTGCAACATTTGTACCAATTAATATATCAACTTTACCATCTTTTAATTGTTTTATAGCAAATTCTCTTTGTTCTTGATTTTTTGAACCATGAATAATTGAAACTTTAAAACCTTGATCTGAAAGTTTTTTAAAAATAAAATCACCAGTTTCTTTATAATTTATAAAAATTATAATTGGTGATTTATATTTATTCCCAGATAAAATTTTAATTAATTTTGAAATTTTTTTAGAATCAATTTCATTTATATTATTAGAATTATTGAAAAATTCAAATTTTTGTTCAATTCGATCATTTATAATCATTTCATTTGAATTTACATTACCAATATTTATAATTGCTGGGTCATTAACATAATTTTTTGATAATTTTTCAACTTCTAAAGTCATTGTTGCAGTAAACATCATATTTTGTCTTTTTAAATTCATAAATTCAGTAATTTTAGCAACTTGATCACCAAAATTCATTTCAATCATTTTATCAGATTCATCTAAAACTAAAAATTGAATTTGATTTAATACTAATATATGTCTTTCTAAACAATCAATTAATCTCCCCGGTGTTGCAATTATAATTTCAATTGTTTTATTTTGTAAATCCAAAATATTTTTTTCAATTAATTTACCACCAACAAGTGAAATTATATCAATTGATGGTAGGAATTTGCTAAATTTTTTAAATTCAATTTCAATTTGTTGAGCTAATTCTCTTGTAGGTACAAGAATTAATCCATAAGGACCATCTGCTTTTGAAAATTCATTTAATCTTGGTAATTTTAATAATTTTGATAACATGGGGATTAAATAAGCTAAAGTTTTACCTGAACCAGTTTCTGCAATACCAATAATATCTTTTTTAGATAACGAAATTGGAATTGAAGCTCTTTGAATTGGTGTTGGTTCTTTATAACCTAATTTATGAATTATATCAAGTAATTCTAAAGGGATTTTAGATTCTCTCCAATTTCTTAAAGGGTTTGGTAAGTTTGAACCTTTTATTATAATTTCATAATCTTCTTTCAGGATTCTCCAATCTCTTGATTTCATTTGTTCTAAAGGTTTTGCAGTCCAATGAATATCATCCCAATTTTGTTTGGTTTTTTTCCTGGTTGAGATAAGTTCTAAATCATCGGGTTTCCTCTTGGTTATTATAGGATTTGAATACATTGAAATTAATGAATTTTCGTTATTGAATGTATCTTCATCTTCTTTCCAATCAAATTTGAATTTTTTCCTACTAGATTTAGCTCTTTCCAGTTCTTTTTGATAATTTTTTGAGAATTCATCTTCAAAATTGTTATTGTTATTAGTGTCTTTCCTTATATCATGAGAGTTTGAATTTGAATTTGAATTTGAACTAGGTCTACTGGTTTGTTGTAATTGATCAACTTTATTCTGTCTCTTCTCTAAAGCAATCTGTTGTCTCTCTTTCTTGGACAAGAACTTGGGTGTATCCAGTCTTCCTTCGTTCTTCTTCTTCTCTATGAGCTCCTCTAGTGATATTGGTCCTCTACCAGCCATCTTTATTACCTTTTCTTCCTAGAAATTTTCAAAAGTATTCAAAATATAAAAGTTATTTAAAAGTTATTTAAATGGTAAACAAATGAAATAAAAATTAAGATGACATAATCATTACGTAATCAATTTTCCCGCATTTTCAATTTTTTGGTTTTTAACCGAATTTGATTTGAAATTAAAAATCAAAATCAAACAATCTGGAGAAACAAAGGAATCAAAAACATCAACAAAGTGGCAAATTGTGAAGTTTCTATTCATACTATATTCAAGTTATACCGCTAGACTATCAATAAACTGTTAATATCACCATGTCGCTATTCGGTGGTGCTGAATGCTCAACTTCAAGAAACCCGTTATCTCAATTCACAAAGCACACAAATGAAGATAGGTCTCTTCAAAGACCAGGGATCCATCAAGGAATAAATGGACCAGGTGCTATAAGGGAAGAAACTCGTATGAACCAGCAGGATCAACAACGTATGAATCAGTTTTATAATGGTCAAGATAGCTTCAATTTCCAACCAATGAATAACGAGCTGAGTCATATACATGCTCCTCTTCATCATCATCAACAACCTACTACATTCCGTCCAGGTCCAACTGCTTCAACTACCTCTAATTGGTCTTCTGAATTTAAAAATGATATCCCTGCTCAACATAGTGGTTCATTAAGATCAAATCATTCTGCTTGGTCATCAGAATTTAAATCAGCTTCTCCATTAAATTCTAATAGCTCATTAAATGAACAACATCATCATCAACCATATAATAATCCAATGATGAGATCAAGAGGTTTCAATCCTGTTTTCCAAGGTTATCAAAATGGTATGGTTAATCATATTCAACCTATACAAACAAATTCTAAATTGACTGAAGTTGGAGATAATGAACAATGGGAAACCCATTTTAAAGAAATTGATGAACAATTTCAAGATGCTTTCTCTAAACAAGAAGGTAAATTAAACGAAGACAATCAATTAGAAAAAGAACCTGAAATAATAATTGATGATAAATATCAAACAAATTTTGATGAAGTTTGGGATTCTTTAAATTCTCAAGAAATTGCTGATGAATTCAATTCTGAACCTTCATGGGAAAAAGATTTTGCTACATATGCTCAAGCAAGAGCAAATTTTGGTAAATATCAATTTGAAAATTCAAATCAATTTTTAAATAATCCAAATGCTTATGAAATTGGTTTAACTTTAATGGAAAATGGTGCTAAATTATCTGAAGCTGCTTTAGCTTTTGAAGCTGCAATTCAAGAAAATCCTCAACATATCAATGCTTGGTTAAAATTAGGTGAAGTTCAAACTCAAAATGAAAAAGAAATTGCAGGTTTAACTGCTCTGGAAAAATGTTTATCATTAGATCCAAAAAATTTAAGTGCTTTAATGACTCTGGCTGTTTCTTATATTAATGAAGGTTATGATAATGCAGCTTTTGCAACTTTAGAACGTTGGATTGAAACAAAATATCCTCAAGTTACTGATAAGGCAAGATTAACAAATCCAAAAATTAATGATGAAGATCGATTTTCATTAAATAAGAGAGTTACTGAATTATTTATTCAAGCTGCTCAATTATCTCCTTCAGGTGCAAATATTGATGCAGATGTTCAAATGGGTCTTGGTGTATTATTTTATGCAAATGAAGATTTCCAAAAAACTATTGATTGTTTTAAAGCTGCTATTGCAGTACGCCCTGATGATGAATTATTATGGAATAGATTAGGTGCATCATTAGCAAATTCAAATAGATCAGAAGAAGCTATTGAAGCTTATAAAAAAGCTTTACAATTAAAGCCTTCATTTGTTAGAGCAAGATATAATTTAGGTGTTTCTTCCATTAATATCGGTTGTTATAAAGAAGCTGCTGAACATTTATTAAGTGCTCTTTCAATGCATAAAGTTGAAGGTTTAGATGATGATGATTTATCAAATAATGCTATGGCTAATCAATCTACAAGTATTTTAGAAACTTTGAAAAGAGCTTTTATTGCTTTAGATAGAAGAGATTTAATTGAAAAAGTTAAACCTGGAATGAATTTAAATCAATTTAGAGATGAATTTAATTTTTAAACCATATAATCAATCATTAATATCCAATATAATTATAAAATTTGCATTATTTCAAATTTGATTTCATTATCAATGGTTTAAATATTCATTGTTAATTCTTTTGTGTGTTTTTCATTTAAATTTTGGGGTCGGTATACTACATTTTAATTTTATCTTTCATGTCATTTACGTTATAATATATATAATACAATTTATCAGAATAAAAATCATTGTACAAAACTTTACAATCTGTTATTTTTTTCTTTATAAGCTTTTAAATCTTTTTCAAATTGTTCTTTTGAAACACCTGAATTCCATTTATAACCAAAAGCTGAATGATCTTCAGGTACAAAAGTTTGACCTTTTTGACCATAAAAATTTTCTCTAAATGTACCATTTTGAACTGGATAATCATCCCATGCTAATCCACGTTTTCTTAATTCTGGTAATAAAAGATCAACAATATCTTCAAAACTACCTGGCCATAAATTATAAGCAAAATTAAATCCATCAAGTCCAGATTTATCAACTAAATCTTCAATTTGATCTGCAACTTCTTTAACTGAACCAATGAATGTAGTTTTACTAGTTTTACCAGTAATTTTATTAACAAGATCTCTTCTTGTAATTTTAACTGGTGATGCAACTAATGATTTTAAATGAGATCTTGGATTTGCTTCTGCAATTTTTCTTAAATCTTCATCCCAATCATATGGACTTAAATCAACACCTGTCCAACCACCAAATAAAACTTGTGCACCTTCTTCACTAACATATTGAAGAATATCTTCAAATTTTGCATATGCTTCCTCTGTAGTCTCAGCGATATAAACTTCAATTAATGAAACAAATTTTAAATTATCAGGATTTCTACCATATTCTTCATGGGCAAGTTTTTTAATTCTATCAATCTTTGTTCTTAATTTTTCTGGTGTATCTTCATTCACAAATACAAGTTCTGCAACTCTTGCACCAAATTTTTCACCTGGTGGAGAACCACCAGCTTGAATAATTAAAGGTAATCTTTGTGGAGAAGGTTCTGTAAATTGATAACCTGGGACAGTAAAATGTTTACCTTCAAAATTAATTTTTCTAATACCATCTGGATCTGCATAGATTCTTTTAGCTTTATCATTTAATACAGCATCATCTCTCCAACTTGATAATAAAAGCTCATAAATAACATCAACATATTCATCTGCTCTTGCATAACGATCTGTATTAACAGCAAGATCTTGACCATTTAAATTATTTCTTGAAGCGCTATTTGTAAATGTTGTAACAATGTTCCAACCAATTCTACCTTTTGATAAATGATCTAAAGTAGCTAATCTTCTAGCTAAATGATATGGAGGTTCAGCTAATGTACTTATAGTTAAACCAAAGGCTAAGTTTTTAGTGACAGAAGCCATTAAAGGAACAGTAGCAGTAGGTCTAAAAAAAAAACTGTTAGTATTTTCCATTAAGATATATGATTTGTTATACTCACTCATTTGTTGGGAATTGAACAGCGTTTATTGCAGTGTTTTTTACACTTTCTGGACCTTCATAAACATCATAAGGAGATAAAGTATCACCAATAAATAAACTATTAATTTTTCCTCTTTCAGCTAATTTTGCTAATTTTATCCAATATTCAATATCTTTATAAGTTGTTGATTCATCTTTTGGATGAGCAAAGATACCAGGTTTCATTTGACTTGGTCCAGCATGTTCAAAAAAATTTAAAATTAGTGGTTTTCTATCTGATCTTTTTTGTCTTTTTGTATCGTTTGTCATTGTTGATGTTATTAACGAATGATTTTTAGACGACGTACTTGAATTTCAGATCTTTTGGGGGAATTGTTCGTTCTTATACTTTGTCGCTATACAGTTCTGGACAGTTACGATATCATGTAAAGTTTTGATCCACAGTGGTTATCTTACGATATAACTTCAACGTTTTTCTTTATGTCTTGATAATTATTCATCATTTCCTAATTGTGGCTGACCCGAGCCGACAAGAACAATAATCCAAAAAAACAATTACAATCATAATACAAACCACATCTGCTATTTGAGTGTGACTGTACACAGAAACTCAAGATGAGACGGATCACTCTAAATTCAATTGTGATTACGACGTATCTTTACACGCAATAGGTGAATAATGGTGAATATGGGAATCTTTAGTACTCATATATGCCTAATTAATTTAACTCCGCTTAAAACCGTCCCCGAATTTTCAAGTCATGAACTTTTATATGCAAATATCGTAAATGAAGAGCTTATAATGAATTTTAGTTATCAAAAGTTGCTTATTTTGTTTTCTGTATTATTATTATTAGTTTAAATAGAGGAAAAAGTAACAAATTTTTTTTCATTTTTTTAAATTCAAAAATAAAATGTACCTCAATAATTTTGTGTATGGTTTGAAATTAAAACATTTAAAATTCGACCAATTTTTTTTTCTTGATTTTGGATAAAATTACAACATAAGGGTAAAATTGAATCTTTTTTAAATCGAAAAGTTACTTTTTTTAATACATATAATTTTGATAGAATTATATTATTTTGTAAAGTTTGTTACAGCATATGCTGATTACTAAGTGATTATGTAATACAAAATTGTCAATAAATTTTTGGAATTTATTAATTTTCACGCAATAGTAGTTCAAACTAAATGATAATAATGCTATAATAACAGATTTAAAAGTACTACATTAATTTTTAAGAAAAAAACATAATTTAAGCATTAAAACTAAACAAAAAGCCGCAAAAAAGACAAAAAAATTAAAACTTTGCGCAAGCCCGGAGTCGAACCGGGGGCTCAAAGATGGCAACTTTGAATTTTACCGCTAAACCACTTGCGCCTGTTGTTTAGTTTTTGAATCTTTCCAGCCAGGCCTTTTTGCTGACAAATACTGATAGGGGACACAGCGATATAAACTTCAAATTGCAATAATTGTTAGTATTTTACAATAAAATCAGTGTTGAAATGTATAATAAATGAAGTCAATCATACTATCTAGCACAATAGATTGTTTGCCCTTTGGAATGAGTAATTCTGATTAATACTGATGATGATAAAAGAATGTTAAGCTTGAAAATTTTTTGAAAGAAATCTTAAGGTATTTATATTCTTCAGGAAAGTTTTCAAATTTCAAATGATCAAGGAAGAAAAATTTTCAGTCCAATGAGAGCACAAACCTTAATAATTACAAGATAAATTAATAAATTGTAACTGAAATTCACAATCTTTTATTGGGAAAGGGAAGTGATTTGAAGCAGACAAGTGAATGATATAGACACATTTGTCTAATTTGTCTCAAGGAATAAGCGTTAAGACTTCAGTTCAAGTATGAAAATTAGCAAATTTGTTGTTCTAGACCATCATTACAAGGTGTTTTGTAGCGAGTTGATATATGAGTAGTTTGCTGTGAGTAGTTATGATATCATTAGCTGTGAAATGTCTTCTGAGTACTTCCCAATTCCAATATACAAATTCCAATCAGGTAAATTGTCATGATCTATAGGTTTAATAAAGTAAAACGCTAAAACTCTAAAACTACTAATGAAATTTTACCCCTAAACTTACCCCTGAACTACCCCTAAACTAGTCACTCCAATTTCACATTGCTTTGATCAAGTTAGACAGCAAATTAGAATCTAGAATCTATTCTATGCGCTCATGAGCCAAATTGTGACTTGTGACTTGACTCAAGGGTCATCTTATTATTAACTATTAAACTCTATAAATTGATCAGGGATCATTAAAGTGAGCCTGGTGCGGCGTGCCATATATGTGTGGATACTTATATATGTTGGATCGAAAAACCGTTTTCATTCGCTAAATTATTTAAAAATCCTTGACTCTTTAAAGCCTAAAATGTCATCCATTGAACACTAGTACTTAAACTAAATAGGTGCTTCAACTAGTTAAGTACTATTCATGTGATCATTGGCTTCATGCGACATCTAGCTGTGAAGGTTGTAATCATGGGACATTTTGGTGTATCTGGTACAATCAGTTCAACTTAAATTCTAGCTTTGATTATTATTTAAGATAATGTCATATACAATGTGTTGACTTTTGCAGTGAATGATTATCACTTGCTACCCCAGCACCTTTCTAGTTTTCTTTTTATTAAAGGTTTACTGTTAAGAATTATACCATATGTTATCGATAGTAGATACAGTACGTAAGATTTTAGGGGTAAATGCATGTAATTAAACCTCAAATTAGATTGACACAATTGAGTCTGACTGAGGAATCAGGAGCACATAAAAACTAAAAACTTAAAAATCAGAAGTTGAACTCGACTGAGTCCTGACTAGCACCAGGCACACAAATTGCAAAATGAGATCACGTGTTCCTAGATATATCTTATTCGACAAGGCGTTGATGATCAATATATTGTGAATGTTACTATGTACTCTTAAAGTGCAAATATCACATAGCGTTATGTATATAGTATATACTATATAGTGGATGGAAGAATTAAGAATAAGCTTTTATGGTAAAGCTAGTTTGCCGTTGAAAGGTCGACCCAATTATATGATTGCACTCCTTTATTCTCCACCTTTATTTCCACATACTAATGTTATCGAAAACAGCAGCCACTCATAGTCTCATAAGTAATCTTTACAAAACTGGTTCAACGGAGATCGATATTTCATCTTTCCAGAAGCTACATACATTTCTTTTTTGATTTTGATAATTCACCAGTAATATTCAAGCGAGACAGTATCGAGAGATTAAGAGTATGCCTTTAACAGACTCCAGAGCTCTTTCATTCATCTGCATATAAAAATTGATGATGATGATCATAGTGTATATCTTGACTTGATTTTAGTTTATAATTGTTGTGGGGTCCGAATGAAATGTCGAGCCCAACAAACGTAAACTATTGGACCATCGTGAATCACACAAACTATAAAGTAAACAACGTATGTACCTAGTTATAGACCTAGATCATATCAATATTTAAAGCATAATTAGCACGTTTATGATTTTGTTCGATAAAGTTTAGCAAGCTTTAATGTTTACTGTATTCCGCACTTGTCATTTTTATCAACGATCAAATTGAGAAGGTAGTTCCACTATGGTATACGTATAGAATCCACTGAACAGGAGAGATAAAAGATAGATCACCACGCTGATAACGATGGTAACCACTAATATTCGATGATTGAAATACCAAGACCAGTTATCAGTAGTTTCCCCTTCGAGTTGAGATGCGCTAATCATTTTACTATCTTGAGATTTGGTACTTTCAAAACAGTCCCGACTAGTCACTGGCCTGTTCAAGAATCAGTGGTCAGTGGTCACGAATCAATGGGGGTTTATGATCTTTAATCTGAGTTTACCTGTTTAGTGCTGTACCTTAACTTAAATAATTGAAGATTGATCGCTCTATCGCAAATCAACCATGTAAATACGCTCAGCTCGCAACATAGGTTTAATACGTGAGAAGTTTTAAGAATAAAGCTGGATTTCGTAAAATTTCAATTTCCTTTTCACTCTATAGATCTGGAATACAATCATGCTAGATCTTTGTCATAAACAATAAAGTAAAAGAAGATATTTCAAGTCATTTTCAGATATGAAGAACCTAAGATTTCTATATGGTAAATATGTTAAAACCTATCACCTTCTTGATAGACCTGTCAAAATTTCAGACACACAGAAGTTAGAACTAGGGGAGCAGGAGAATTACCTGTACTCATGTACTTGTGAAAGGAGAAGCTGCAACTAAAGGGATCTAAATGCAAGTACCCTTACCAAAGTGTATACTGTGTTCTAAAACCGATCCGAGAAAACCCACTGGTTTATGGATGAAGATTCATAATTATCTATTCTCCTTATGGCATCATCATACTCGAAATTAACCATGTAGATTAAGAGAAGTCAAAATTACTCTCAAGTCTTTTAAATTATATTAATTATAAGCTACCGAGCCAATTATGATAAAGTAGCTGCTACCAGCTTATTCGCTGCTTACCGGACCTGGATTATATTTTCAATATTACAGCTTTGACATATCCGAGATTTATGGTTGAGTACGCATATTTATGGAAATAGTAAACCATCTAATACCTGGTAAAATCTTATATCTATTGAATACGGGAACTCTGAACGTGTAATCTTTCCACTGAACAACCACACATTCAGAAGTATTATCGTAAGCTTAGATTTATACTTTAAAGTTGGACCTTGAACATTGTGGATCTTATACCTGAGTTCTAAATTAACCAAAATAATGTAAACAAACAGATCTACAATCACAGAAAAATTTCTGGGCTTTAGATTAACGGTACCGTAAGTACTGAATTCCCGATGTTTGCTTATCGATCTTTGAATCTTGACTTTTGATCTTGGTCCAATAATAGAGCTTGATTCACTTATCAAATACTTAGCTAAGAGTTCGACATGTGAATTATTCTTGAAATTGAAACTTCAGCCCTTCATAATTCACTAGTTCATGGTTGAATGGTTCTTTTTCAAGGTTTGTAATTTGAGGTATACATTATTCCCGTCTAGGAATTATGCAAAACGTATAATATTAGTGCATAGACTCCAAAGTGCTTAAAATCTAAATCCGAGACTTGCAATAATTGAGTTATTAGTAAGTACTGGGTCCATGACTCTTTAAAGTAACTCCTTGAAAACTCCATAAGTTCAAGCATAATCTCACCTCAAGAATTTCAACCATACCAAAGATTTTCATAACAAATTTAAGTATTGATACATATTATAGTAATTTTAAAAGAGTTTATAGACAATTGACTAAGAAATGAGGGATATTGTATCATTATCAACCACCAAACATCAGATATTGCAGAATAACAGAAATATCCATTACTTTAACTCTGATATTTTCAAAATGAATCCAAAAATTGGATATAAAAAGCCATCAAATTCCTCCATTAATTTCAAATATTCAACTTTATTCTTCCCATCATCATCATAAGAACTGGTTTCTTGATTAACAAACACAAAAACATAAACAACTTATATTATTCACAATGAAATTTTCAATTACTTCTGCTTTAGCCGTCTTTTCATTATTTTCTGTCTCAGCTTTAGCTGCCCCAGTTGCTTCACCAGATGCCGTTGCTTTACCAAATGCTGACCCATTAGCTTTTGCTGCTCCAGCTCCAGTTGCTGATTCAACTCTTGATGCTGTTAATGCAGGTGTTGCCAACATCACTGGTGAACTTGGTGAATTAACTAAAGTCTTAACTTCATCAAAAGCTCCAAAAGATTCATACACTAAAATCACAAACATTGTTGTCAAATTGGTTGAAGGTATTGTTGATACTTTAGGTAAAGCCACTGGTTTAACTGAAGCTACTGATTCAATTAACAAATTATTAAACACTGCTATTGGTGCTTTAGATACTTTAGAAAAAGAAACTGGTTTAACTGATACTTTAAACAAAGAAGTTGATTCATTAGTTTCCACTGTTCAAGGATTATTGAAAAACTTGGTCTCAACATTAAACGGTATCTTGAAAAACTTATTTGCTTTGAACTTAGTTGGTGTTGTTGTTGCATTATTAGGTGGTTTATTGAAAACTTTAGGTGGTTTACTTAGTGGTTTATAAATTTGAAACTTCATGATTCATTAAGACACTAGTTGGTTTGATACCCTTAGCACCCACACTTTATCTATTCAATTTTCAAGCTCATTTGCTTCCAAATCTCTTTGAATTGAATTACTCTCTGAGATTTTGCTTATTTAGCCTTTATATGAGATTTTGCTTATTTAGCCTTTATATGATTCAATAAAATATAATATGATACATTAGAGATTTAACCGTAGAAGACACCTATTCTAAGCAACCAGCCCCAAGGAAAATACCATACCACCCTCCATTAATATACATAGTCCACCAGCGCAATAAATAAACCGTATCCACCAGCTCATATACCACTTTAAATATCTAAAACTTGTTCAATCTTGTTTTAGTTAAAATGTCGTGTGAATATTGATGATGATGATGGATGATCGCGACCAAAAGTGTTACCCTAAAAGCACCGCGAAAGCGTTGAAAAATTTCCAATTTTTGGCCATGAAAAGCATTGAAATTTATATTGAAAGATCAGAATTTGGAGAAGTTCAACTTATTATTGAGGTTAAACAGGGGATAATATGGCTCGTCAAAATTTCTTGGGGCTTGTGGTATCACAAGGGAAGATGTCCAAAACCGTTAAGGTGCGTGTTTTGAGAAAGTCTTTTGATAAAGTGGTTAATAAAGTATGTATTGATTTGAAAGATTATGAAAAATTATAGAGAACATCAAACTAACATGGTTTTTTATAGGAAATCATGAAAAGAAAAGATTTCTTGGTTCATGATGAAGGTGAAGTTGCAAGAGAAGGGGATTTAGTCCGTATTGAACAATGTCGTAAAATATCTAAAAGAAAGGCTTTTTCAATTGCAGAAATTAGAAAAAATAAAGGTCAACAATTTTTAAGTCATAATGAAGATGCAAGAGCAAGAGTTATTAAAGAAGAAAATGAAAAAACAAGAGAATTCTTAGCAAGAAGAAAAAACACAACTGAAGAAATAAGAAATAATACATCACTCATAACAGATTTAATGTTGATTGAAAAAAGTACAAAAGGTAATTTATCAAAAGAACAAAAAGTTAAAGTATCTCAATTGAAAGATAAATATGGTATTAAAGATTGGCCACCACAAAAAGACGCTTTGAGATTACAAATACAGTCACTTCGTGAAGAAATTGATGACTTAACAAACTCAGTTGCCAATCAAGAAGTATTTGTAAGAAAATTACAAAACTTACTTGAAGATAAAGAAAAAGGTGATGAAATTTTGACAAAAATGGGTAAAAATGTTGAAACTTTGAAAAAACATACACGTAAGAATATATTAAGAAAATATTTACTTGAAAATGAACAAGAAGAATCCAAAAAATTAAGTTCATTTTTAGATCAAGATTTAAGTAAACAAGTTGAAGATTTAAAAATATAATAGAAAGAAAGAGCAAAGGGGATAAAGTTTACACTACATAGTAATTCAAAAGTCTTGTATATATAGTTTTAACACAAGAATGCATATATGATTTTAATGTCAAAGTTTTCGAGTAGTCTTTTTTGTCACTTAATTAATATCGATTTGATCCAGGTTTTCATTTTTCTACGCATAAAAAAAATTCAAAGATCAAGAGATCTTCACCGAGCCAACAACAACAAAACATGAATCTTCAACCACCAGTTACAAAGTCCAAATGTATCAAATCAAATTCCTAAAGCCAGTAACAGTGAACTCAATTTCAAATAGTCAAGCTGATTTAAGAAAAAAATCTCCAAAATTGAGTGATTCTGTTTATGAAATTTCATCAACTTTTACTATATCAAATGATTTAGGTGAACAATTTTTCTACGGGAAAGTCCCAATAACTTGTGAATTAAGACAATATAACACATCATCACCAACTAGTGAATACCAACCAGTGGCAAGAAGTCAGGCTGATTGGATCTCTGGAAAAAGAGCTGTTGATGTTAAGCTACAAATACCCAGCAGATATTTGCACAAGGGTAAATTTTTAGCATTACATATATTTGTTGAGGAAGATGTGAAAGTTATTGATGATTTAAACACAGAGGGAATAACCCATGAAGAACTAAGGAATGATTGGCTACCAAATTATAAGGAACTCACTGTTGGTAATTGTCAAGACTCTTTAGATTTATCAAGCTCAAAATTGAACTTATTCCCATCAACTTCAAGTCTTATAGAAGTCCCAACCCCACAAACCTCTTTCCCTTCAAGATCTGATAAACAAGGATTACGAACTATAAAAGAAGTGATACTATATGAAGAATTGTCTGGTGAGATTGCACGTCATTTATGGGACGCTGGTATTATAATGAATTCATTATCCAAATCACATATACTAAAATTTTTCTTTGATACAGAAGATGAAAGAATTTTAGAAAAACCATTACAAATATTGGAACTAGGTACTGGTATTGGTTTGGTATCAATACATTTGAGTAAAATATTCCCTAATGCAAATATTTTAGCAACTGATTTAGATGACGCTGAAGAGATTTGTTCATTGAATATAAATTTAAATTCGGCTCAAGATCGTGTTAAGTTCAGTGAATTAGACTGGGAAACTTCCACTGAAACACCACTACAGAACTGGGATATTATAATTACAACAGACTGTACATATAATCCATTATACTATGATGTACTGATTAATGTCTTAAAGAGAGAATCATCATCAAATACTAAGATAATATTAGCTCATAAATTTCGTGAGCCATTGAGTGAATCTGAAATCTTCCCTAAACTTCAAAAACACTTCCATTTGAGCAAACAAATATGGTACAATTCACAGGGACAATCACTAACACATATAGGACTTTATACACCCAAATAAATATGTTCAAACATCTCTTTTAAACCCATTTTGTGTAGTATTTTCAGGCCGTCCCTATCACTCTGCCATTCTTCCCGTGTCCCAAATCTCATCGTTCGCCAAAAAAAAGCGCCTTCGCTAAACAGCTGATCAAATAAAATAAAATAAATAAAGAAGACAGATCTTTAAAATTGCGGGTTGGAATTGGTGTTCAAAGGCGAATACATTCAATTCTTGTTCACTCAGTGATAAATTAATATTCATATTCATAGAATTTTGGCTCTTCAATAGGCCTAGATTGTCATTCAAAGGTTGTTCCATTATTTCAGTTGTTTTTGTTTTGTTTTCATTTCGGATTCATTTTGACGGTATAGCGTTTGTTAAAGATTCAGGCATTCCACTTAATCCATTTCACCAGGGAAAAAGGGGGTGATACACACAAAGAAACCATATTCAAAGTGATCAAGTGGGCTTGAAGAGCAGTTACAATGGAGACTAAGAGAAGAAGCATCATACGGAACGTCAGCGGTAGTCCCATAATACCCATTGAGGGAACTTTCCATTCAAATTCCAATATAAACTCACAACTTTCCAATTCTTCTAGAAGATCCATAACTGATCAAACTCAATATTATAATAGTGTGAAACATGTTAAGGGGGAGCTGGCACCTACAGTGAATTCATCTTCTATGATCAAGATCTTACTTATAGGTGATGCTGGTGTGGGAAAATCTGCTTTAATTGTAAGGTATTGTGATGATTATTTTAATGAAAGTGTATCAAAATCTACTGTTGGTGTTGATTTGAAAGTTAAATTAGTTAGTGTTGATAATAAATTCTTCAAAACTGTTATTTGGGATACTGCTGGACAGGAAAGATATAGAAATCTGATACCTTCTTTATATAAGGGAACAAATGGAGTTTTATTGACTTATGACGTAACAGATTATCAATCTTTTGAAGGTTTATATCATTGGATTAAAGAATGTTATGATAATTGTGATTTATCAAGAACCATTTTCTATATAGTGGGGAATAAGTTAGATCAACATGAAAAAAAAGTTAATAAAGATGATATAAGGAAATTATTGAAATTTGTTAAAGATAATTATAAAGGTTTCAAAATTAATGCAATTTTTGAAGTCAGTGCTAAATATTCAGGTTTTGTTATGGGGCTATTTGATAATATCATAAAAGATTTAGTGGAACATCGTTGTTACTTTGATGAACAACGATTAAGAAATAAAAGAAGTATTGATCTTTCAACTGCAAGAGATGATCAACATGCAAATTGTTGTTCATACTAATGAAAAATTTTTACCCATTCCCAAATAACTAGCATATAATTCATTCACAAGATTTTTACGAACAATTCATCCATTTCATCTATTCATTTCATACTATCTTTTTCTCTTTGCATATAATAAGGTTTTCGTTTGTTGCCATTTCAATTCTTTCACTAGGTTATAAATCAACACTACAATCGCATATAAATACCCATATTTCAGTGAATAATTCAACTCTATATTAATGTTAAATGCTAGTGATCTATATAAATTATCTAATGCTAAACTTCTATTCTAATTATATTTGATTATTTGGTGTAAAATATTTTTTTCTGAATTCTGGTATTGTAATTTCACTTAAATTATCTTCACCATGATATTCATCACCTCTATTAATATAAACTAATAATCTTCTTGACCATTTATTGAATTCTTGAACTAAATGATATTTTAATTCTAGATTTTTATGTTTTGGTATTATTGTAGGAACAAAGTTATCATTTGATGTTGGCATCCAAAATGCTAACCTTCCTCCAATTGGTAATCTTTCACTTGCAAATTGTAATAAATCACATAATAAAGAATCTAATTCATATGGTTTCTTTGTCGGTATATAATCTTTTCTCAAGTAAGCTTTTTTACCATCAATTTCAACATCTTCTTTACCTTCAAATCTATGAGGATCTTTTGCTCCAAGCACTTTCAAACCTTCTCTAACACCATATGGTGGATCACATACAATTGAATCAATTTTCAAACTACTTCTAAATGCATTATGAGTAAAATCCATAGTCATGACATCCATAAATAATAATGATGTATCATATTGTTTGAAATTGGCTTTTATAGTATCATCACCTTTCCCTCTGATTAATCTACCATCAATATCTGAACCTGTTGTTAAAGCACCAAAATTTGATCCTGCAACTAAAAATGAACCAGTTCCAACAAATGGATCATACATAATTTTACCTGGTGCAACTTGACCTAAATTACATGATACTAATGCTAATTCAGCTTCAAAAGTTGTTGTACCAATATATTTTCTTTTTTTCAAATCATATTTATCTAATACACCTTTTTCTCTTGAACTTAATTCAATTTGTCTACCAAAATATAGTTTTGATGGACTAGTAGCTGATTGATGTTCATTTGGTGGGATATAATGTTCTAAAACTGTAAATATTTGTTCAGGATCTTTCATCCGTATTGGACCTTCAAATGCAACGTATTTGAAACTTTCAATTAATTTTATCTTGGATCTATTACTTCTTTTACCCATATAACCAATAAAATCAAATTTGAACGAACAATCTTTATATTTTGGAAACAATTCACTAGATCTTGATTGAACATCTTGATGTAACTCCTCCTCTGTGTTACCTGACCCCCAAAATTCATAAATACCTTTTGCTAATATAGATCTTGATATTAAATTTTTAGCTTGTTCATCATTATCTAAAGTAACAAACATGAATGGTGAGTTTTCATCATGATTAGATAAATCAACTTTGAACCCATATAAATCAGCAAGTGATTCTAATTCAGCTGTTCTAAAAGTTGGATGCTGTTGAGCAAGAAATATCAAATATTGCTTTGCCATATTTTAACCTTCTTTGGTAGCTTTATAATTTGAATTAATGTACATTTCAACTAAATCTATATACATCTTTATTTGTCCGATGAGCTCTGAAATTTTTTTGATTATGCTTTAAAACCCAAAGAGGAAAGGTTATATATACCACGACACAAGGACATTTTGAATTTCAGACAAATCACAGAAAAGGGACAGACATTTATAGAAAGACGGACAGACAAAAAAAAGGTAAAATTCGCGACTGTTTTCTGCCGTGTAAAATTTATAAAGGATCGAAATCCTTCTTTGAACTTGAACCAACTGTCCTAAAAAATCAATCAAGACATTGAACAAAAATTAGTGGGAATCATACGCGTTAGTACTGTTAGGTATTATCTTTAAGTTCAATAGGAAGCAATTGAAGTAGATTCAATTGATTACAATTTGTGGAAAACACGCGTTCTATAATAGTTTAGGTTAGGTGTTTAAGTATTTATAAACCCTTATAGTTGAAACCAAATAACCTAAAGAACAAATAAAAGTACATTTACTTTATTTCTTAAACTTATAGCTTTAATTATTATTAATAGATTCTTTGTTTAGAACAATCATAAGTAAAAATCACAAATAAAAATAAAAATGTCGTTATCTGATGATGAAGAAGCTCTCTTTGATGATATCTATGGAGATGAAGATCAACCAAAAGATGAAGTAAAGAAAGAAGAAGAAACTAAAGAATCCGAAGCTGATGTTAAAAAAGATGATGATAAAGAAGACGAAAATAAAGATGAATCTAAAGAGGAATCTAAAGATGCTACTAAAGAAAATACACCTTCAACTGATACTAAAAAAGATGATGAAGAAAATTCGACTTCTAACGCACCTACAACAACAACTTCTAATCAAGAAACTTCAGTTCCATCAACAAGTGAATCCATTAATGAATCTAAAACTGAATCCAACATTTCTAGTAATCCAAATCCTTCAAGTCAACATAAAGTTGATTTAAGTCGTGATGCTGCTAAAATGTTTATTGGTGGGTTAGATTGGGATACAAGTGAAGAAAGATTAAAAGAATATTTCAGTAAATTTGGTGAAGTTATTGATCATACAATCATGAGAGAATCAAGTACAGGACGTTCAAGAGGGTTTGGATTTTTAACATTTGCAGAACCAAGATCTGTTGATGAAGTTGTTAAAACTGAACATGTTTTAGATGGTAAAGTTATTGATCCAAAAAGAGCTATTCCAAGAGATGAACAAGATAAAACTGGTAAAATCTTTGTTGGTGGTATTGCACCAGAAGTTCGTCCAAAAGAATTTGAAAACTTTTTCGGTAAATTTGGTACAATTATTGATGCTCAATTAATGTTGGATAAAGATACTGGACGTTCAAGAGGGTTTGGTTTTGTTACATTTGATGCACCAGATGCAGTTGATAGAGTTTGTCAAGGTAGATATTTAGATTTTAATGGTCGTCAAATTGAAGTTAAAAGAGCTGAACCAAGAGGTCCTCAACAACAACAAAATCATATTCAACAACAACAACAAAGATATTTACAACAACAAGGTTTCGGAGGTGCAGGATACCAACAACACGGAGGTGCAGGATTCCCAAATGCTAATCCTTATGGTGCTGGTGCAGCAGCTGCTGTTCCAGGTGCTCAGCCAGGTATGCCAGCAGGTGGAGCAGCTTATGGAGGAGTTACACCAGAAGCAATGACACAATATTGGCAACAAATGCAAGCATATTGGTTACAATTTCAACAACAAGCTCAACAAAGTGGTTCAAATATTTCACAACAAGATTTACAAGCTTTAGCTTCACAATTACAACAACAACAAGGTGGTGGACAAATTCCACAAATTCCTCAATCATCTTCATCAAATGATGATGGATTACCAAATTCAGTACCACCCCCACCACCTTCAGATTCTTATAATGATGGAGGTTATGGTAATTATAGAAGAAGAGGTGGTCCACCAAATGCACCAAGAGGTCCAAGAGGTAGAGGTAGAGGAAGAGGTGGTTATAATAGAAATAATGGCGGTGGTTATCATCCATATCAACGTAATTAAAGAAAGTCACACACAAAATCATGTATAATTTATAATTCAGTATATATAGCTACGTTAAGTTTTCAAGATATATGTAGATCAAATTATATTACATTTCCATAATTATATAGACATAAACAAAAATTAAAATAGTACAAAATATTCATAAATAATAGCTAACTCCATTTAAGCAAGAAAAGAAAAGTAAAAACACGCAAATATTAGAAATAAAAATATCTTAAGCAAAACATATAACTTATAAAGCAAAATCAATATTATAATCTTAATTCATCAGGTAAATTACCATGACATAACCAACCAATTGGTTGTTTAACATTTTTTTCCCTATCAATATATCTAAATTCTTCTAAAAATTGAATACAATTTTGTAAAGTATAACCTTTTTCCATACCTTTTTCAATAGCTTTATAAATAGCTTTTCTTCTATTAAATTTCTTGGAAGTTGCAGGATCGCGTCTCCAACCAGTTTTATATTCTTCTTCTAATTGTTTTATTGAAGGTTGACCATTTAATCCAATTGAATATTCATTCCAAATTTCTTCAACTGATGATGGAGCTTTTATAAAAGCATAATCTTTTTCATAAATTTTTCTTCTTTTATTTGGTTCAGATGGTGAAGATTGAACAGAATTTGAAGGATTAATTGATAATGAAATACCACCATTTTGAGTTGGATTTGAAGATTGATCATTTGGTATAGAAGGACGAATTGGTTGATTTGTTCTTGGTTGAGGTTGTTGCTGTTGTTGAGGTTGGGGTTGAGGTTGAGATTGTGAAGGTTGTTGAGGTTGAGTTGGAGGTTGTGAAGTTTGAGTAGCATAATCTAATGGATCATCATCAAGAATTGAAGCAGCATCAGTTGTTTGTTGAGGTTGAGGTTCTTGGGTTGGACCACCATTAATTGTAGATCTACGTCTATCGGATGGTCTTCTTTTAGAATGTTGATGATGATATGGTTGAGATTGTAAATGAGGTTGTTGTTGTTGTTGCTGCTGTTGTTGTTGTTGGTAAGAATGTTGTAAAGCAGCTAAAGATTGGTGTTGATGTAAGGAATGACGTGGTTGAGTTTGAGTTTGATGTTGTTGATGATGGACAGATTGTCTTTGATGAGCTGGTAAGATTTGATGATGTTGTTGATGTTGATGTTGTTGTTGTGGATTTTGATGTAATTGTTGTTGAGGTAATTGTAAAGAATTTAAATTAAAATTATTTGAATTTGATTGATTTGGGTTTGATTGATTATGATTTGAATTTGAATTTGAATTTGAATTTGATTGATTTGAATCATTATTTGTTGAAGGGTTATTTGTTGTAGTTGAAGTTAAATTTAATCCAGTTAAATTTTGT